TATGATACAGATAATGCCGAGGGTGGTAGGCGCTGGTAGTGAATCGGATATTACCTCTGGATGTGAGACCTCTGGTTCGCAGCCAGGGCGGCATTGGCGGCGTGTTGGCTTTATGCTTCGGCTTTGGCAGCATCCATCCATGATTCCATGGGTCAGCCTGCTTGGAAGGCAAAATAAAGGAATTCTTACTGACGAAAAAGTAACGATTCCTAGAAACGGCTGACCAAGAGGAAGTGTTGATTCGATGAATGCATGATTCCGGCACACCAGAGGTGTCCTGGATGTATTGTCGGAAGGTATTGGCCATGCTGGCGTTTTCTAACATGGGGACAACTCTGTGGGTGGGCAGCTCCAAGTTCCTGGAGTGCATACATTACAATGTATACAACATGGTAATGCACACTCCTAGTGCCAGTGATGCCGAGTTTGCCCCCTCCTCTCCCGACAGTCGTGTTGTCCTGACACGGAGAGCCTGCGCCAAAAAAGATGAGGGCATCTTCGGGAAGCAAGGCGAGGAATTCACGCAATGCAGCAAAGTGTTGATGTGCAACTTCCCATACGTCAGCGAGGTACCGAACTGGGATTTTGCCGCGGTGGTTAACCCATACGCTGGGGTCGCAGTGATAGCCATGGACTGCAGAGATAACTGATCGGATGTCGGGGTCGAGTTCAGCGATGAGCAAGGCAGCGGGAGACCCGAGTTCTTCTGTGAGTGTGTCAACGAAACTGCCACTGCTGGCACTGAGCAGCGTGCGGCGTCTGCAGCGCCCGCCGACAAACGTGACCGTGCGGTGACGAAAAACGGACTTTTGGAAGTTGGCCGTTTTGAGCGTTTTCGGAGCCAGACGGAGCGGTGACAAAAACGGTGACAAGTTCGGCGGGCTGACGTGTCACAAGCCGAAACCTCGGCGGGCTGCCGCGCTCCGAGCGTCGGGCTGCGGAAAACCCTGCGACTCCGGAGCTCGGGAACTGGGCCGCTTTTGCGCACTTTTTCGACCCAAAAGCGAGCGGTGACGGGGGCAAGCCCTACCCCTTCATGCTGGTGGCCATCGATGCGCTGACGAAAAAAGTGGCCGCGGAGCCGCTGAAGGACCGTCTTGCGACCACCACCGCGGCGGGCATGAAGAAGGTGTTCCAAGCCCTGGGGGTGCCGGCCAACGTGTACTCCGACGACGGCTCCGAGTTCAAGAGGGAGTTCAAGGAGCTGATGGATTTCTGGGACATCGAGGGGCCACGCCTACTTCGCAGAGCGCACCATCCGCACCATCAAGGAGGCCATGTTGATGCGCATCGCTTCTCAAAGCATGCCTACTCATCGTCGGCCGAAATTTTGGCAGAAGGTCGAGGGAGACCACCACCCACTAAACGCCTTGCCGATCGACTGCGTGCCGTCTTTTTTCCCGAACGCCAAGCAAAGGCGACGAAGGGGCCCCACGTTGGTGATCAGGCAACCCAGAGTCACGGGCATTGCTGCTATGGCGACGAGCAAAGTCCGAGAGCCAAAAGAAGACCATGTGGCGTCTGGGCAAGGTGCGCACCAACCACAAAGGAGGCAAGTTTCTGCGCCGAGCCGTTGTTTTGGAGCAGCTTCCGAGCCTTTGGATGTTCCGGGAGCCCAGCAGTGCCTTCGACAAGAGCAGAGACCTTCCGTCTGTTGGCCGTACAGCAGCGACTGGTTTCGGGAAGCCCGCGACGGCGGCGGCTCAAAGCCAAGCTCTCGCGGGAGCCCTGTTTTGTTCCGACGGCGAGCTTGTGGACCGTCCGACTCTGGCATGCAGCTCTGCTCAAGTCAAGGTGCGGACTTTCTGGATGGCGGACCTGCGTATGCAGGTCCTCGAGTGCCCGCTGTTCCCTTGGAGAAAATAAGGAGCAAGAGCAGCTTTCCAACTGCCTAAAAGAATCATGGCAGACAGAGCCTGGAATAAAGGCAGTTTGTCAACAGGCTTGCGGAGGAGTTCCAGATGACTTTCCGTGGGCTCAAGTGAGCTTTGTGGATGGACAGGTCTCCATAGAGGCGCCCGACCGAGCGGTGCTGATCGAGGCAAGAAGCTCGCGGGATCTCCCGAGCCCTCTTGCGCCCAAGGTGCCGGTGCTGCTGCGGCTGAACATGACAGAGCGCGGCGGTGTGTTCACGAACGACGCAGGGCACTGGTCAATAAATTGGGTTAAGCAGGTCCATGGTGCCGAGCGGTTGCCATGGACGCTTTTTTGTTTTTCTTCATTTTTTGTTTCTCCCGCGGACAGGTTTCCAGCGGCGCGAGGTTGCAGGAGGTGATGCTGGGGCCGGTTTGCCGATTGTGCAGGAGTTGCCGGGGTGCCAGGAGCGCGCGCTGCGGAACAAAAGGGCAGAAACATGTGGCCCAGGTTTTTGTTTGCAATGCGCGGTTGATTCATAGCTGCCAAGGAGCCTCGGAGTGCGCTTTTGGGCTCTCCGCTGTCATGGTGGGGGCGAGCTGTGGTGACGTTTCATTTTTTAGCGTTTTTTTTTTTGGTTTGCATGTGCCGTATTTTCACAGATTTGTGCACAGATGCGTGAGTTGACATTTGTCATGTAAGAGCTGCCGCAGAGGCAGAGGCTGACGATGCATTTGGTAGGAGCTCCATGTTTTTGGTTTGGCGCTGCGGCAAGCGCAGGCGCAGTTGCAAGCGCAACAAGGCGCATTTGGAAAGCCCTTTTTGCCTCCCCTTTGAAACACGGAATATATTTGTTTTTGTTCTAGATTGGCAACAGTGAGCGCGTGTCCGGGAAACAGCACGAAAGTTTTTTTGGCTGGACAATGCTGGTGGTGCTGTCCCCAAGATTGCTGTTGTTGGAACTGGGCAGGTGTGTGCAGGTGTTCAGGCAACCTGGGTTTTTCAAGATCCTTCCCGGTTTCATTATGCTGTCGTCCACATGCCAGGGCCCGCGTCCCATCATTGAGTTTGTGCCGGGTCCTTCTTCCCAAGGCTCCCCCAAGTTTTGCAGGTGTCCTGAGCCGTGCCCCTTGTAACGGATCGACGAGTGCATCGGCGAGAGGTTGGACCTCGTTGTCGCTGCTTACACATCACGCTATTTTTTAACATGTTTTTGAGACCTGCCAGCTGCTGCTACGTCTTGGGGCTGATGTTGCAGGAGCGGCAGCTGGCAGGGGAGTGATTATTGTTTTTGAGAAGCGGGCGCTGAGCAAGCGCGGTGTGCTGAACGGGCAGGGTGCCGAACAAGCGCCAACAGAAGGAGTAAGAAATGAAATGTGGGGCAGCAACGCATCAAGCAGGGTGCTGTGGGTTGGGGCAGGGAAGCATCAAGCGAGTTTGGGGCAGCGTCTCATCAAGCTGTGCAAGCCACATGCCGTCAACTTATGTCCGAGTCAGTCAGCTTTGTGTCCTGACAGGTCATCTTGCTTCGCTGGTTGACCTTGAAGTTCCAGCAGGTTCATATTCACGAGTTTTCATGGAGGAAGGAGGCTCATCGAATGGGTTTGGTGCAGGGCTTCACTAAGCAGGGTACGTTTGGGAAAGTCTTGGGAGCGCTTCGGGGGCGAGAATTAGTTGCGGGAGCGGGCATGCGTTTTGGGACTGCCGGGGGTTTGGGGCAGGGCCTCGTCAAGGTGCCAGCTCCCAGCAAGCGTGGGCCGCTTGCGGGTTTTCATGTTTCGCATTTTTGGGCGGTGTCTCCGAACTTCTTGCGTGTCGCTTTCCTCTAACGTAAGATAAGACCTTCCTCATTGCGTCCACAGCTTTGTCTTTAAAGTTTCCCTCGGCTGGGCTGTCGCTTAGCGGGCAAAAGTGCATCCAAAGACTGGTGGCCTTTTGGCGGGGGGTTTGCCTTGGGGACTGGTCCTGTTTCGATTTTATGGCTAGTTGCGGCCTGGTCCTGGGGTCTGGGAAGCAGAATGCGGGTTGAATAAAATGGAGTGATCAGCGTTTCTCCGCCGTTGGCTCAAGTTGAGAACAAGAGAACAGTTCAGATCTATGGAATGTTGAAGGCAGTTCCGGAAGCATCAGCCATCCGCACCTCAGGTTTTGACATGCACCAGAAAAAACAATTGCAATTGCCCAGGATCATGGCTTGCAAACGCAGCGCCTCAGCTCGCTACAGGCGCCTTGCGGTCGCTTTGCTTTCCTCTTGGTCTTCGGCTTCCACGGCGTGACCTTCAACATCCCAAAGCGCATGCATGAAGTTGCCCAAGACAAGGGCATCAGTGACATTGAATACTTGCAAGGGGTCAGCGCGGCAGCAGAGTCTTACAAAAAGAGCGACCAGATTGCTGGACGAACTGGCTTCATCAAAGCACTGCAGAAGGCCTGAGCTCCTTGTTTTTGCTGAGTACAAAGTAAGCTTGTGTTGTTTGGTGGTGACCTTCTCGCAAAACCCTGGTCAGGCTATGCAAAAATCGGGCTTGTACCTTGTCATTGGAGGCAAGTCCCTTGGCAAGACCAAGATTATGCAAAAGATGGATCAAGTTGTCGCCGCTTACTCCCCGTTGCTCTACGTCAACATGCGCCACCCACCCCAGCCCGAGTCAACGGATGCTTTGGAATGCCTTCAAGCCAAAGCCAAAGATCTCTGGAGTGCAAAGAATGTGCCCCCTTGGGCGGGGAAAGTGGCTGACGTCATGATTGCCCTTGCTCGAGTAGTTGGCAAGGAGAGCTTGAAGAAGGGTGATGCGGAGGGTGGAGTGGAACTTGCTTTTTCCGAATTGCTGAATGTGCCCAAGCCGCAAGAGTTTCTCTGGGCTTTTGTTGATGCGGCAGTTGCAATGAACCAGATCCCGACAATGATCATCGACGAAGCCAACATTGCTTTTCCGAACACGAATGGCAATGGAGACAGCAAATCCAAGAGGGAAGCAGCCTCACGGGCCTTTGCCACCTTTGTGGCAATGACAAAGGAAAGCTGCAAGGCTTGCGTCATCTTGCCTGCCTCCGATTTCGCCTTCCCATAGGGCCTAGAAACACTTGGTTTGAACAAGTTCGATGTCCTTCAGACAATCGTGATTCCGGAGGTTGAAAGGGAGCCAATGCTGGCTTTGCTGACAGAGTGGGGTTTGCCTCGGGATGTGGCGGAGGAGCGTTTTTGGGGTTTTTGGTTGACGCAGGCTTGCTTGCGTGTGCGCATCACAAGTTAGTTCTGACACGAACGGCAATACAAACACGCACGTACCAAAAAACAACGGATGTTCGAGGTCGATGCCAGAGTTTGTTTCACTCGCGTTGCCAGGAGTTCTACATGATCTTCGGCGGCAACATACTTCTCTGCCAGCAGGCAATCGATAAGCTTCTTGAGCAGTTCGAGCTTGGTGCAGAAGACTCCTTCGACCCCTTCAGCGTCCGAGGTACAGACGGGCTGGCTGGTTTGGCCAAAGACCCGCTCACCCGTGAACACTTGGAGAACCTTGCGCGACAGGGGTGGTCCCCCATCGAGGAAGGCAGCGCAGACGGGGAGACGGAGAGCCAGAAGGGCGCCCGCATCATCGCCAAGAAGAACTTCGGCGGCGTCATCAACAGAGAGACGACCACCTTTTTGGACCAAGACTTGAAGGATGACATGTTCAGCAACAGAAGCACGACGCAGGTGCTCATCCCGGCCACAGGCTACCTGCGCAACTGTATCAAGGTTTACGTTGAAGCATGTGAGCCCAGCAGCTTGGAAGCAATGTGCTGAACACGCCTTTCTTGGAGTTCGAGACGGCTCCATGCACATTGCACCGACTCAGTTTGGGCCTGTTGACCTCGCAAGGACTAGAATCTGCAAGAAATACATGCATGTCTGTGTTTGGTTTCCTTCTCGTATGGTCTCTCTTTCAATTGCCGCACCCCAATTTGCAAAGCAAATGGGATTTGCAGCGGTCCTCAAGCGTTGCTTTCCTCACTTTTGTTTTGTGGTAGGTTGCCCTTGAATAGCTGCAAGCAAAGCTGGGCCGATCATGTTCTTTTCAAGCAAATAGTGTCTCAAAGCTCAAAGTAGATTTCCCCTACAATCCATGCGCTGGATCATTCATTTGGCGCTGTCAGACCAACCTACACATCATTTCTTGCCAGTTCTTGTACTTACCCCTTGGATTGGATTGTTGCTTTCTAGTTGGATGTATTCAAGCTTGATTTCGGAGCTTATCCAGTTTCAGGGCCAGTGCAAACCAATAGGATTGTCGCCTGCAAGGCAGTGCTGCCTCGCAACCATCAGCTGCGGTGTGGGTCCGTCAGCTGAAAAGCATTGCCCGGGCCTTACTAGCTGTGTGCAGTCTTGCCTGCCCTGCGTTCATGTTCGAGAAAAGCTGTCAAAGGGTCGACTGAACCGGATTGCAGTGCTTGTGCGTTGCAAGGAGGAGCCTGAGATCATTGGCAGCGCGTTCAAAGTCACTGCTAGTGTTTCAGATGCCCACGCCTCAGCTGCGCCACTTTGCGAAGGATCACCTCACTTTGTTTTGCCTTCGGAAATGCTGCTTCATGCTTCGCGGGGATGTCAGGTGGATGACTTGAAGAAGGCCCCGCGCTTGAAAGGGCGAAAGCCGAATTTCGCTCATCCTGTCTTGCGAGCTGTTTGCAGAAGGGTGATGACAATGATTGTCAGGCAATCAAAGTGGAGGAGGAGTTGACCATTGCTGCATCCAAGATCGACATTTACAGCAAAGAGGAGAGCTTTGCATGTCAAAGCGTGCCCATTTGTTCCATTCCCCACACCTCACCCCTTGCCGTGTCTTAGCTTGACTCTGCAGGAAGGGGGCTGGGTCAGAGAAGATGAAGAAGCAGCAGTCAACCGCGGCAAATCCAAGCCGAGCACTCGGATTCGATGCCTTTCAGCTTTGGGTTGTGCCGTCGCCCAGCTGTCAGGGCAGACTGCTACGGATTCATGTTACCAGCTGGAGCTGCTGGAGCCGCATAGCTTGAAGCACCTCAGCAGCGCAGCAGTGCTCTACACTTGTGCTACTGCTAGCTGTGGTCACTTGCTATTCTCGGCTGAGGCAATGCTGGGGCACAACGTTTCACCTCGTGCAGTGACAAAAGGGTGCAGTCGCAGGCACAGTTGTTGCGTTGCAGTGCGACTTTGCTTGAGTTTTGAAGCGTAAGGGATGGTCAATGTTCACACTTTTGAACATCAGGCTGCGGTGTTCAAGACAAGCAGAAAATGTGCGTGCAACGGGTACAGGACCAGCGACGCGCTGGTCAACAGCTGTTTCACCGAGACATTCCTCCTTGTGCCTAAGTGCGCAGATGCAATACCGAACCAATTGAAGAGGTGCGGAGGAAATGATTGCGCTCGTGGCTTGCCAGTTTGAGACTGCAATGGAGGCAGAGGGCGTGCCGCTGCTCCAGGCATGGGAGAAGTATGAGGCGTCGCTGCCGGTGAGAGAAAGTGGCGCTGGAAAGATCAAATTATATTTGCAACCCTACCTGTGTAGCGAGAGAGACTTGGATGTTGCGGTCAGGCGCTGGAGCAGATCAACGCAGCGAGAGACCGCGTGGCTTACCTGTCAGCACCAACCATGCGGGGCAAATCCGCCGCCATCCTTCCAATGTTTTGCCGAAGTGTAGAACTGGGCGGCGAGAAGAGATTTACCCACTACTTGTACATGCCATTTGCCAACAACGACGGGTTTCGCAACTCGCCTCAAACTTAGCGCAATCTTTGGATATTCAATTTGAAGGGTATTCCATCCTCAATGTTTGTTTCAGGGTAACATGTGTTCTGAGCGCTTTGCAAGCGTGTGAGGTCACAGCCCTGCGCCCAACCGCCAACTTCGCGATTTGCAGACCAATGAGCTGGAGCGGGCAGGTGCTGACTTCATGCTCCATTGCTTCAGGAGGCAGATGAACGGAGCTTATTCACGCAGCTCAACATGGACTCTCCCTTCACAGTTGCCAGACCTTGAAGACACAGAGGCAAAGTTCAAGGAGGCAGTTGAGAAGTTCTTGCAGAGAAACAGCAACCGTCCCCTCCTCCACATAGACGAGCGCCGCAGAATGAGCGCATCTCCAGAGTTCAGGCGAGGAGCAATGCAGCTGGCTGGCTCGGTGCCAGCGAGGTGTCGTGTGATTGCCACCTACCTTGAACCACCGGTTTCCAATTGCCATGATGTTAGTGGACGTTGGGCCCTTGCTGACTTTCAACGCGTCAGATAATGCGCCAGCCACGGCGGCAGGCTTGCCAAGAATCAGGCTTCCTGCTGTGGGAGTCTGGAATGGCAAGGCGCGGCGTTTGCTCGCAACATTGCGGGTCAAGCTGAGTCTTTTCCTTTTGGGGCGAAACGTTGGTCTTGACCAACTCCACATTAAGCAGGATGAGAAGAGCAAGTTGCGCAGGACTTTCAGAGATATTCAAGACAAGCTTGAGAAAGAGGGAAGCCTTGAAAGCAAGCTCATTGGAGCCATAGCAACTTTCAGAGTCAAGTTGCCAGAGCTGGGTGAGCAGGTCTGTGGAGCGGTCGACTTGCTGCTGGGCATTGACGACGATGAGGCAGGCGACAGAAGGTATCAGGGCATGGTGTCGCTGGACAACCCGAAGCTCTCCCTTCCACTTGAGATGTTGCTTGCGGTCCGCGATGTCAAGGACGAGAGCTTCAATCTGTTTTGCGATGGGCAGGGTTTGCTTGCTGATAGATTCCATCTTGGGAACCTCTGACTGGTGCGATGGTCTGGTGATGGAGAGGGCCTATGTGTGGGCTCTTGTGTGCAAAGCAGCGAAATCAGCCGGACGTTTCCGACTGACAGATGCTGGAGATGAGTTCCTTTTCCAGTGCAGAGAGCTGCGAGATGGAATCAAGCAGTTCCATGGGAAGAGCGCCAGAGTCTTCACAAAGAAGGGAACACCCAGCATTGACGGCATCCGCTGCATTGAGGATGGTGTCGTGTATCACGCACTTTCAGAAGGTGGCGAGGCTGGCACTCACAAAGGCTTCGACGTTTGGTTCAAGACGAAAGATAATGAGTTGGTCCGGAGCTCAGTTGCAAAGTGAAACGGCATAATGCCGTTTGATGTTGTTTGTTTTCAATGTGTCTTCCACAATCAGGTGCTGTTGGACGTGACCGGAGCTACGAGTGCAAGTACCTGCAGCGAAAAAGCTGAAGACATCGACACGAATGCAAAAGCGGTGATGAACGAAGTGCAGAGCGCGACAGTGGCTGTGAAATCGGTCATCGGTGTGCTTTTCAGCGCCATCGAAGAGCGGCCTTTAGCTCAAATGGCGCAAGGAGATGCTGCAAGAGACCTATTGGGAGGCTTACAACAACTCTTGACCTGGCTTGGTGAAGATGTTGACTGAGCTCTTTGAGGACAGAGTTGCAGGGACACTTTCTCTCCTCTTGACAGTAGCAGAAGCCCAGCTTAAATGGCCATTAGGTGTTGCCATAGGAAAATTGAACGTGGTCTTTGCCGAAAATAAAGAGCCTCGCCTTGTACTTGACAGTGCAGTTTGTCAGGTGAACACCAGATGTTACCTGCCAGAACGCCTTAGTCTTCCAATGGCGTCCGATCTCGCCCTAGCCACTCAAGCAGTGGACACACCAGGGGCGTTCATCGGGCCCACAAACAGGTCCAAGGCGTTCCTGTTTGTGGATGACCTTTTATGCGCCTTGTTTTGAGCTCAAGCGCCAGAAATGTTCGCCCTAGTGGCCCTATTTTTCTGTGCCCGGCAGCAGCCTGCCGAGCCTTTGGATTTCAGCAGGTTCCAAAATTTTGGAAGTCGCGGGCAGCACTGTGCACTGCCTCGAGGACATCCCACGCATTCCAGGCACTAGCAAGCCTACATGGGTTCGCATAGCCGACCCAAACAACCCATTCACTGCCCTGTCCAAGGCCAGCCAAGCTTGCCTGGAATGGCTTGGGTCGTGCCCCAAGAACTCTCCCATACAGCCTTTGGCAAAGCAGCCCCAGTTGCAAGCCCTTGCAGCCGCAGATGCATGCGCTGAAGAGGACCTTGTGGGCATAGGTGGATGGGCGGTCACATCCTCACAAGTGGTGTGGTTCGCCGAAACCTGGACTATGCAAGAGGTCTGTCAAGTGTGGCCCAGCCTTTCCAAGCCTGCGCAACGCTACATCGCCTGCTTCGAGACGCTAGCGCAACTGGCGCTTCTCCAAGCTACACACAGCCACATTGGGGGCGGGCGCTACTCGTTTAGCATGCCCTCAGGCACGGACAACTCGGCGGCGGAAGCAGGCATTAACAAAATGTTCACAACATCTTGGCCTTTGCAAATTTTTGTGCAGCTTGTCGCCTCCTGGGCGCATGCGCAAAATGTTCTTCTGCAGCCGACTCATCTGCCGGGGCGCTACAGAGAAGTTGTGCCAAAGGCACCGTTTGGAGTGATTTGGGTCGCTCGGTGTTTCGTTTTGCGGGGGTGCGAGTGACTGTGGTCACCGTGTTTTTTGGCCGAAGGCCTTGTTCTCTGTCTTATAGGCGACATGGATTGGGCATGCATCACAAGAGGGTGCAGGTCTGCAATGGAGAAAAAAAATAAAATGAGTGGGCGGATGGGCGCTTCGCGCACCGCCCAGCGGACCGCGTGCGCTTCAGCCCCGCCGGCCTTGCACAGGCAGGGAAAGGCATCACACTGTGCCCTAGAGGCGCCATGGCGGCCAGAACATCTGGCGGCGGCCATCGGGCGCATGTGACGCATGTGCTCACAGTGCACGGGCGTGTTTTCAAGCCTGCCAGTGTAGCCTCTTGCCGCCAAGCGCCCTTGCCCTCACACCGGCAGCGCCGTGCCCTGCACGCGCACTCCCGTGGCCGGAAAATCTGGCTGCGAGGCGGAGCTTGAGCTCAAGCTCCACACGTCAGGAAAACAGACAGCTGGAGAGCCGTTGCATGGAGGTCTAAGCACTGCCGTTGCATGGCTTCGCCTTGTTCCGGGGTTGCCTTGTGAAGCACTGAAGGAGGGGAACATCTCGCCCCTTGTCCTAGGTGCACCGCAGTGCCCTAGGAAAGTGCCACCTTCCCAAGCAACCCGGAAAAAAGGTGTGCGCCTTGCAGTCGGCTTTTGGGTTCTGGGTTCTTTGTGATTTGAGGCTAGGAGCAGTGCGCTTGACCTTTAACGCTAAGGGTTTTCTTTTCCCTTGTGTTTATAGGTCTGGGGTGAATCTACTACGCCGCCGCCGTTTGTTGCTCCTAGCCCTCAAACTCACGTTCAGGACTCGCAGTCCTGGTTTCTTTTGAAACCCACCCACCCAACCCTACTAAGCCCTAAGCCTGCTTAGGCTTGCCGGTCTGTCTTCCAGACTTGGAGCCTACCGGACAAGGCCTGGGAGCGCACTCTCAGCCTTGTAACAGGATTCCAGACTGCCTTGTAACAGGGCCCAGGCCCGCGGTCTGGCCCTGTTTGCACGAGGTGCCCGCTGGCCCTCTGGTGCAGGTGTGGGCACGCTTGCCGCACCTCACATAGGCACATTTCAGCAAGGACACGCCTGTCTTGCGACCTGTTTCACAGGGGAGGGGGGAGAACATCTCGCCCCTTGTCCTAGGTGCACCGCAGTGCCCTAGGAAAGTGCCACCTTCCCAAGCAACCCGGAAAAAAGGTGTGCGCCTTGCAGTCGGCTTTTGGGTTCTGGGTTCTTTGTGATTTGAGGCTAGGAGCAGTGCGCTTGACCTTTAACAGGTGCAAACCTAGCAGGGTTTCAGCGTTGCGTCATCTGTGTGTGACTCTCAACCACAGGTGCAAACCTAGCGAGGTTTCAGCATTGCTTCATCTGTGTGTGTGACTCTCAACCACAGGTGCAAACCTAGCGAGGTTTCAGCGTTGCATCATCTGTGTGTGACTCTCAACCACAGTGCAAACCTAGCGGGGTTTCAGCGTTGCATCATCTGTGTGTGACTCTCAACCACAGGTGCAAACCTAGCGGGGTTTCAGCGTTGCATCATCTGTGTGTGACTCTCAAGCACAGGTGCAAGCCTAGCGGGGTTTCAGCGTTGCGTCATCTGTGTCTGACTCTCAACCACAGGTGCAAACCTAGCGTGGTTTCAGCGTTGCATCATCTGTGTGTGACTCTGCGCCACAGGTGCAAACCTAGCGGGGTTTCAGCGTTGCATCATCTGTGTGTGACTCTCAACCACAGGTGCAAACCTGGCGGGGTTTCAGCGTTGCATCATCTGTGTGTGACTCTCAACCACAGGTGCAAACCTAGCGGGGTTTCAGCGTTGCGTCATCTGTGACTCTCAACCACAGGTGCAAACCTAGCGGGGTTTCAGCGTTGCGTCATTTGTGTGTGTGTGTGTGTGACTCTCAACCACAGGTGCAAACCTAGCGGGGTTTCAGCGTTGCATCATCTGTGTGACTCTCAACCACAGGTGCAAACCTAGCGGGGGATCAGCGTTGCATCATGTGTGCCTAGCGGGGTTTCAGCGTTGCGTCGTCTGTGTGTGACTCTCAACCACAGGCCCAAACCTAGCGGGGCCGTGCGGGGCAAGCACATTTGGCACCCTCAGCGAGGGTGCCAAATTGTGTCGCGTCAGCGAGGAAATTTGGGGGGGGGATATTCAAGGGTAGCAGAAATCAGGCTTTCGGCAATGTCAAGCTGGGATTGCTTGAAATGGCTTGAACGCACGTGTGAAAGGCTCCGATTTGAGCACGCCGAAAGGGGGCCTGGTTGCAGGACGTGAAAAAAAATGATGACGATCTGACTGTAATTCTGCGGAGAGTAGAGTTGCATACGATCTGGCCGTAGTTTTGCGGAGACTAAAGTTGTGTGCGATCTGACCGTAATTCTGCGGAGACTAAAGTTGTATACGATCTGACCGTAATTCTGCGGAGACTAAAGTTGCATACGATCTTCGCGCTTGCGCTATATCGACCAAACATTCACTCAGTTTCAGGCAAGGGCGTGAAGTTGGACAGGCGCACGAGCGGAGTCAGAGCAGAGCCAAGGCGGAGTGGAGGACTTACAACATTTCAGCACAGCAGCATGTTAAACTCCATCCAAGTCTGCTGCCCACAAGCCGTTTACACAAAACAATGAAAACAATAGTAACAGACGCCGAAAAACACAATCGCCAAATTAAAAAACACATCTGATGTTCAACAAAACAGCTCAAATGAAAAACAAGCAAATGACAATTAAAAGAAAGCATGAAGATGCAAGCTAAGACTACCAGAGAATCCAATTAAAATAACGGTGATATGATTTTATGGCCGGAACGTTTTGCAGCCAAGTCCACCCAGACGAATTCCATAATTACAGGCAAGGCACACGCAGGCGCAACGAGGGGCAAACACGGCTTTGCCATGTGTTAGCGCAATAGAAGCGATGAAAGAGATGACAGACAGCAGCGGCGCTGCTGGCCTTCTACGGGGCAATCGCGGGAGCTGCTCTACAGTAGCCGCAGCGCTGCGCCGAGATCGCACAAGTGGCTACTGCCGCCTTTTCAGATTTGCCGGACGTAGATAACACACAGCAGCTGCTACCAAGGAAACTGCTCTGCTGCGCCCCACCATGCTTGCCACCAGTGCTTGCATGGGCGACAGCAAAATACTTGCCGCGAATGCGGCGGCGCGTCGATCTGCTTGCACGGGATTTGCGCGCATGATCGTCAGAAGCACCTTTGCCGAGACTGCGGCGGCACGTCAGTCTGCGGCACCTTAGCCGGCGTTGACGCTGCTGTCCAAGTTCTTTCCTTCAGCACTATCGCGTCTGTCGGCAACGCGCAGACTGCGTGTAGCATGATTTTTGCAACGTTATCGATTGTCACCTTGATGCGCATCGCTTCTCTTCAAGGCATGCCTACTCATCGTCGGCCGAAATTTTGGCAGAAGGTCGAGGGAGACCACCACCCACTTAAACGCCTTGCCGATCGACTGCGTGCCGCAATGGGGGGTCTTTTTTCCCGAACGCCCAAGCGAAGGCGACGAAGGGGCCCCAGGCTTGGACGTTGGTGATCAGGCAACCCAGAGTCACGGGCATTGCTGCTTGGACTTGTTTTTTCTGGACACCTTCAGAAAAAGGTGATGGCGACGAGCAAAGTCCGAGAGCCAAAAGAAGACCATGTGGCGTCTGGGCGAGGTGCGCACCAACCACAAAGGAGGCACGTTTCTGCGCCGAGCCGTTGTTTTGGAGCAGCTCCGAGCCTTTGGATATTCCGGGAGCCCAGCAGTGCCTTCGACAAGAGCTGCAGCAGCGACTGGTTTCGGTCATCAGGAAGCCCGCGACGGCGACCGGCTGCTCAAAGCCAAGCTCTCGCGGGATGCCCTGTTTTGGTCCGACGGCGAGCTTGTGGGCCGTCCGACCCTGGCATGCAGCTCTGCTCGAGTCAAGGTGCGGACTTTCTGGATGATGAGCGACGGACCTGCGTATGCAGGGTCCTCGAGTGCCCGCTGTTACCTTGGAAGAAAATAAGGAGCAAGAGCAGCTTTCCAACTGCCTAAAAGAATCATGGCAGACAGAGCCTGGAATAAAGGCAGTTTGTCAACAGGCTCGCGGAGGAGTTCCAGATGCACTTTCCGTGGGCTCAAGTGAGCTTTGTGGATGGACAGGTCTCCATAGAGGCGCCCGACCGAGCGGTGCTGATCGAGGCAAGAAGCTCGCGGGATCTCCCGAGCCCTCTCGCGCCCGAGGTGCCGGTGCTGCTGCGGCTGAACATGACAGAGCGCGGCGGTGTGTTCACGAACGACGCAGGGCACTGGTCAATAAATTGGGTTAAGCAGGTCCATGGTGCCGAGCGGTTGCCATGGACGCTTTTTTGTTTTTCTTCATTTTTTTCCCGCGGACAGGTTTCCAGCGGCGCGAGGTTGCAGGAGGTGATGCTGGGGCCGGTTTGCTGATTGTGCAGGAGTTGCCAGGGTGCCAGGAGCGCGCGCTGCGGAACAAAAGGGCAGAAGCATGTGGCCCAGGTTTTTGTTTGCAATGCGCGGTTGATTCATAGCTGCCAAGGAGCCTCGGAGTGCGCTTTTGGGCTCTCCGCTGTCATGGTGGGGGCGAGCTGTGGTGACGTTTCATTTTTTAGCGTTTTTTTTTTGGTTTGCATGTGCCGTATTTTCACAGATTTGTGCACAGATGCGTGAGTTGACATTTGTCATGTAAGAGCTGCCGCAGAGGCAGAGGCTGACGATGCATTTGGTAGGAGCTCCATGTTTTTGGTTTGGCGCTGCGGGAAGCGCAGGCGCAGTTGCAAGCGCAACAAGGCGCATTTGGAAAGCCCTTTTTGCCTCCCCTTTGAAACACGGAATATATTTGTTTTTGTTCTAGATTGGCAACAGTGAGCGCGTGTCCGGGAAACAGCACGAAAGTTTTTTGGCTGGACAATGCTGGTGGTGCTGTCCCCAAGATTGCTGTTGTTGGAACTGGGCAGGTGTGTGCAGGTGTTCAGGCAACCTGGGTTTTTCAAGATCCTTCCCGGTTTAATTATGCTGTCGTCCACATGCCAGGGCGCGCGTCACATCATTGAGTTTGTGCCAGGTCCTTCTTCCCAAGGCTCCCCCAAGTTTTGCAGGTGTTCTGAGCCGTGCCCGTTATAACGGATCGACGAGTGCATCGGCGAGAGGTTGGACCTCGTTGTCGCTGCTTACACATCACGCTATTTTTTAACATTTTTTTGAGACCTGCCAGCTGCTGCTATGTTTTGGGGCTGATGTTGCAGGAGCGGCAGCTGGCAGGGGAGTGATTATTGTTTTTGAGAAGCGGGCGCTGAGCAAGCGCGGTGTGCTGAACGGGCAGGGTGCCGAACAAGCGCCAACAGAAGGAGTAAGAAATGAAATGTGGGGCAGCAACGCATCAAGCAGGGTGCTGTGGGTTGGGGCAGGGAAGCATCAAGCGAGTTTGGGGCAGCGTCTCATCAAGCTGTGCAAGCCACATGCCGTCAACTTATGTCCGAGTCAGTCAGCTTTGTGTCCTGACAGGTCATCTTGCTTCGCTGGTTGACCTTGAAGTTCCAGCAGGTTCATATTCACGAGTTTTCATGGAGGAAGGAGGCTCATTGAATGGGTTTGGTGCAGGGCTTTACTAAGCAGGGTACGTTTGGGAAAGTCTTGGGAGCGCTTCGGGGGCGAGAATTAGTTGCGGGAGCGGGCATGCGTTTTGGGACTGCCGGGGGTTTGGGGCAGGGCCTCGTCAAGGTGCCAGCTCCCAGCAAGCGTGGGCCGCTTGCGGGTTTTCATGTTTCGCATTTTTGGGCGGTGTCTCCGAACTTCTTGCGTGTCGTGCGTCCTTCCCGTTCTTGCTCGCATTTTCTTGCAATGCAGAACGAACTGTGCAATCCATTTGCCAGGCTATTCGTGCTTGTTGCGTGGCATATCTTGCTGCTGACTTCCTCTATAAAGCCAGGTAGTTGCTTTCCTCTAACGTAAGATAAGACCTTCCTCATTGCGTCCACAGCTTTGTCTTTAAAGTTTCCCTCGGCTGGGCTGTCGCTTAGCGGGCAAAAGTGCATCCAAAGACTGGTGGCCTTTTGGCGGGGGGTTTGCCTTGGGGACTGGTCCTGTTTCGATTTTATGGCTAGTTGCGGCCTGGTCCTGGGGTCTGGGAAGCAGAATGCGGGTTGAATAAAATGGAGTGATCAGCGTTTCTCCGCCGTTGGCTCAAGTTGAGAACAAGAGAACAGTTCAGATCTATGGAATGTTGAAGGCAGTTCCGGAAGCATCAGCCATCCGCACCTCAGGTTTTGACATGCACCAGAAAAAACAATTGCAATTGCCCAGGATCATGGCTTGCAAACGCAGCGCCTCAGCTCGCTACAGGCGCCTTGCGGTCGCTTTGCCTTTCCTCTTGGTCTTCGGCTTCCACGGCGTGACCTTCAACATCCCAAAGCGCATGCATGAAGTTGCCCAAGACAAGGGCATCAGTGACATTGAATACTTGCAAGGGGTCAGCGCGGCAGCAGAGTCTTACAAAAAGAGCGACCAGATTGCTGGACGAACTGGCTTCATCAAAGCACTGCAGAAGGCCTGAGCTCCTTGTTTTTGCTGAGCACAAAGTAAGCTTGTGTTGTTTGGTGGTGACCTTCTCGCAAAACCCTGGTCAGGCCATGCAAAAATCGGGCTTGTACCTTGTCATTGGAGGCAAGTCCCTTGGCAAGACCAAGATTATGCAAAAGATGGATCAAGTTGTCGCCGCTTACTCCCCGTTGCTCTACGTCAACATGCGCCACCCACCCCAGCCCGAGTCAACGGATGCTTTGGAATGCCTTCAAGCCAAAGCCCTGGAGTGCAAAGAATGTGCCCCCTTGGGCGGGGAAAGTGGCTGACGTCATGATTGCCCTTGCTCGAGTAGTTGGCAAGGAGAGCTTGAAGAAGGGTGATGCGGAGGGTGGAGTGGAACTTGCTTTTTCCGAATTGCTGAATGCCCAAGCCGCAAGAGTTTCTCTGGGCTTTTGTTGATGCGGCAGTTGCAATGAACCAGATCCCGACAATGATCATCGACGAAGCCAACATTGCTTTTCCGAACACGAATGGCAATGGAGACAGCAAATCCAAGAGGGAAGCAGCCTCACGGGCCCTTGCCACCTTTGTGGCAATGACAAAGGAAAGCTGCAAGGCTTGCGTCATCTTGCCTGCCTCCGATTTCGCCTTCCCATGGGGCCTAGAAACACTTGGTTTGAACAAGTTCGATGTCCTTCAGACAATCGTGATTCCGGAGCTTGAAAGGGAGCCAATGCTGGCTTTGCTGACAGAGTGGGGTTTGCCTCGGGATGTGGCGGAGGAGCGTTTTTGGGGTTTTTGGTTGACGCAGGCTTGCTTGCGTGTGCGCATCACAAGTTAGTTCTGACACGAACGGCAATACAAACACGCACGTACCAAAAAACAACGGATGTTCGAGGTCGATGCCAGAGTTTGTTTCACTCGCGTTGCCAGGAGTTCTACATGATCTTCGGCGGCAACATACTTCTCTGCCAGCAGGCAATCGATAAGCTTCTTGAGCAGTTCGAGCTTGGTGCAGAAGACTCCTTCAACCCCTTCAGCGTCCGAGGTACAGACGGGCTGGCTGGTTTGGCCAAAGACCCGCTCACCCGTGAACACTTGGAGAACCTTGCGCGCAGACGGGGAGACGGAGAGCCAGAAGGGCGCCCGCATCATCGCCAAGAAGAACTTCGGCGGCGTCATCAACAGAGAGACGACCACCTTTTTGGACCAAGACTTGAAGGATGACATGTTCAGCAACAGAAGCACGACGCAGGTGCTCATCCCGGCCACAAGCTACCTGCGCAACTGTATCAAGGTTTACGTTGAAGCATGTGAGCCCAGCAGCTTGGAAGCAATGTGCTGAACACGCCTTTCTTGGAGTTCGAGACGGCTCCATGCACATTGCACCGACTCAGTTTGGGCCTGTTGACCTCGCAAGGACTAGAATCTGCAAGAAATACATGCATGTCTGTGGTCAAGAGTTGCTGTCAAAGACGAGTGTTTGGTTTCCTTCTCGTATGGTCTCTCTTTCAATTGCCGCACCCCAATTTGCAAAGCAAATGGGATTTGCAGCGGTCCTCAAGCGTTGCTTTCCTCACTTTTGTTTTGTGGACCACTGCCGGGTAGGTTGCCCTTGAATAGCTGCAAGCAAAGCTGGGCCGATCATGTTCTTTTCAAGCAAATAGTGTCTCAAAGCTCAAAGTAGATTTCCCCTACAATCCATGCGCTGGATCATTCATTTGGCGCTGTCAGACCAACCTACACATCATTTCTTGCCAGTTCTTGTACTTACCCCTTGGATTGGATTGTTGCTTTCTAGTTGGATGTATTCAAGCTTGATTTCGGAGCTTATCCAGTTTCAGGGCCAGTGCAAACCAATAGGATTGTCGCCTGCAAGGCAGTGCTGCCTCGCAACCATCAGCTGCGGTGTGGGTCCGTCAGCTGAAAAGCATTGCCCGGGCCTTACTAGCTGTGTGCAGTCTTGCCTGCCCTGCGTTCATGTTCGAGAAAAGCTGTCAAAGGGTCGACTGAACCGGATTGCAGTGCTTGTGCGTTGCAAGGAGGAGCCTGAGATCATTGGCAGCGCGTTCAAAGTCACTGCTAGTGTTTCAGATGCCCACGCCTCAGCTGCGCCACTTTGCGAAGGATCACCTCACTTTGTTTTGCCTTCGGAAATGCTGCTTCATGCTTCGCGGGGATGTCAGGTGGATGACTTGAAGAAGGCCCCGCGCTTGAAAGGGCTCAAGCCGAATTTCGCTCATCCTGTCTTGCGAGCTGTTTGCAGAAGGGTGATGACAATGATTGTCAGGCAATCAAAGTGGAGGAGGAGTTGACCATTGCTGCATCCAAGATCGACATTTACAGCAAAGAGGAGAGCTTTGCATGTCAAAGCGTGCCCATTTGTTCCATTCCCCACACCTCACCCCTTGCCGTCTCTCAGCTGGACTTTGCAGGACGGCCGCTGGGTGAAAGAAGACAAGATGTCAGCAAGTCTCCGTGAGACAGACGAGCCGAGCACTTGGTTCCGATGCCTTTGGGTTGTGCCGTTGCCCAACTGTCAGGGCAGACTGCTACGGATTCATGCTGCCAGCTGGAGCTGCTGGAGCCGCATAGTTTGAGGCACCTCAGCAGCGCAGCAGTGCTCTACACTTGTGAACTTGCATCGTTGTGGTCACTTGCTATTCTCGGCTGAGGCAATGCTGGGGCACAACGTTTCACCTCGTGCAGTGACAAAAGGGTGCAGTCGCAGGCACAGTTGTTGCGTTGCAGTGCGACTTTGCTTGAGTTTTGAAGCGTAAGGGATGGTCAATGTTCACACTATTGAACATCAGGCTGCGGTGTTCAAGACAAGCAGAAAATGTGCAACGGGTACAGGACCAGCAACGCGCTGGTCAACAGCTGCTTCGCCGAGACATTCCTCCTTGTGCCTAAGTGCGCAGATGCAATACCGAACCATTTGAAGAGGTGCGGAGGAAATGATTGCGCTCGTGGCTTGCCAGTTTGAGACTGCAATGGAGGCAGAGGGCGTGCCGCTGCTCCAGGCATGGGAGAAGTATGAGGCGTCGCTGCCGGTGAGAGAAAGTGGCGCTGGAAAGATCAAATTATATTTGCAACCCTACCTGTGTAGCGAGAGAGACTTGGATGTTGCGGTCAGGCGCTGGAGCAGATCAACGCAGCGAGAGACCGCGTGGCCTACCTGTCAGCACCAACCATGCGGGGCAAATCCGCCGCTATCCTTCCAATGTTTTGCCGAAGTGTAGAACTGGGCGGCGAGAAGAGATTTACCCACTACTTGTACATGCTATTTGCCAACAACGACGGGTTTCGCAGCTCGCCTCAAACTTAGCGCAATCTTTGGATCTTCAATTTGAAGGGTATTCCATCCTCAATGTTTGTTTCAGGGTAACATGTGTTCTGAGCGCTTTGCAAGTGTGTGAGGTCACAGCCCTGCGCCCAACCGCCAACTGCGCGATTTGCAGACCAATGAGCTGGAGCGGGCAGGTGCTGACTTCATGCTCCATTGCTTCAGGAGGCAGATGAACGGAGCTTATTCACGCAGCTCAACATGGACTCTCCCTTCACAGTTGCCAGACCTTGAAGACACAGAGGCAAAGTTCAAGGAGGCAGTTGAGAAGTTCTTGCAGAGAAACAGGAGCAACCGCCCCCTCCTCCACATTGACGAGCGCCGCAGAATGAGCGCATCTCCAGAGTTCAGGCTGGCTGGCTCGGTGCCAGCGAGGTGTCGTGTGATTGCCACCTACCTTGAACCACCGGATTTGCCTGCGCAGGGCTCGTCCACAGTCTGCAGGTTTCCAATTGCCATGATGTTAGTGGACGTTGGGCCCTTGCTGACTTTCAACGCGTCAGATAATGCGCCAGCCACGGCGGCAGGCTTGCCAAGAATCAGGCTTCCTGCTGTGGGAGTCTGGAATGGCAAGGCGCGGCGTTTGCTCGCAACATTGCGGGTCAAGCTGAGTCTTTTCCTTTTGGGGCGAAACGTTGGTCTTGACCAACTCCACATTAAGCAGGATGAGAAGAGCGAGTTGCGCAGGACTTTCAGAGATATTCAAGACAAGCTTGAGAAAGAGGGAAGCCTTGACGGCAAGCTCATTGGAGCCATAACAACTTTCAGAGTCAAGTTGCCAGAGCTGGGTGAGCAGGTCTGTGGAGCGGTCGACTTGCTGCTGGGCATTGACGACGATGAGGCAGGCGACAGAAGGTATCAGGGCATGGTGTCGCTGGACAACCCGAAGCTCTCCCTTCCACTTGAGAGATGTTGCTTGCGGTCCGCGATGTCAAGGACGAGAGCTTCAATCTGTTGTGCGATGGGCAGGGTTTGCTGATAGATTCCATCTTGGGAACCTCTGACTGGTGCGATGGTCTGGTGATGGAGAGGGCCTATGTGTGGGCTCTTGTGTGCAAAGCAGCGAAATCAGCCGGACGTTTCCGACTGACAGATGCTGGAGATGAGTTCCTTTTCCAGTGCAGAGAGCTGCGAGATGGAATCAAGCAGTTCCATGGGAAGAGCGCCAGAGTCTTCACAAAGAAGGGAACACCCAGCATTGACGGCATCCGCTGCATTGAGGATGGTGTCGTGTATCACGCACTTTCAGAAGGTGGCGAGGCTGGCACTCACAAAGGCTTCGACGTTTGGTTCAAGACGAAAGATAATGAGTTGGTCCGGAGCTCAGTTGTAAAGTGAGACGGCGTATTGCGGTTTGATGTTGTTTGTTTTCAATGTGTCTTCCACAATCAGGTGCTGTTGGACGTGACCGGAGCTACGAGTGCAAGTGCCTGCAGCGAAAAAGCTGAAGACATCGACACGAATGCAAAAGCGGTGATGAACGAAGTGCAGAGCGCGACAGTGGCTGTGAAATCGGTCATTGGTGTGCTTTTCAGCGCCATCGAAGAGCGGCCTTTAGCTCAAATGGCGCAAGGAGATGCTGCAAGAGACCTATTGGGAGGCTTACAACAGCTCTTGGCCTGGCTTGGTGAAGATGTTGACTGAGCTCTTTGAGGACAGAGTTGCAGGGACACTTTCTCTCCTCTCTCTCTCGGAGTAACGTCTTCTCACTGGCCGTGCCCGTGTGCGTGTGCCCGTGTGCCCGTGTGCCCGTGTGGGCGGTGTGTGCCCGTGTGCCCGTGTGGTGCCGGTGTGGTGCCTGTGTGGTGCCTGTGTGGTGCCCGTGTGCTGGAGCGCCCATGTGCTCCATGGGTGGTGTGTGCCCGTGTGGTGCCTGTGTGCCTGTGTGCCCTTTTGTCCGTGTGGTGTGTGTGTGTGTGTGCCAATGTGCACGTGTGGTGTGTGTGTGTGCGCGCCTTCAGCTGGCAACATAACATGAAATTGACTCCCCCTTCGCTTTTCAAACAGAACTTGCTTTGCGCAAACGCAAAAGCTTCCTGAGTCAACGCTAGCAACTGAATAAACGCACACGAACAAATTGCTTCTGGGACTGTTGGCCACTGCGCGGGCATGCCAGAATCACACCTGGCCAGCCTCCTGACACAAGAAGGGTCACGCAGACGCAGAGGCCTTACTGTACGTTGACCAACAGGAGAAGCTTGAAAATAATTGCCCCCTGGCCCATCGTTGCAACAACCAGTGGCTAGCATTATCATCATTGGCAGCGGGCTGATATCGAAGGCCCACTCAGACACTACGCTAAAAGTCACGAGTGACGACACACACATGAGCCATCTGAACAGTCAAGACAATCACAGTCGCAACAAGCAAAATCTCAATGATTGCGGAAGCCAAAGCTGTGGAGAGTGTCGCCCTGATGCTGACAAACAGACTGACGCGCGGTGATTAGAGTTTGCGTAGAATTGCGGCGGTGCTGTGAAGCAATGGTGTCGGTCCAAACGGTCTTGCGAGCGCCGCTGATGACGTTTCTCATGCTAAAGGCGCAGCCCATGAACAGAACGAAGGCTCCAGCGTAATTTGCTACTTACAAGACTTTCTCCGTAAAGGAAAAAGCACAACGAGCCAGTGTGGTGCTGGTGAACCAAAAAACGAACCACAAACACATAAGCTCCGGCTCCGGCAACTTGCTGAAAATTGATTATGCAACGCTGACGCGGGTGGAAGAAGATGGAATATTGATGCGCGCGGCGTGGACGTATCAAAATTAAACTTTCAATGGCATGTTCTGATCAGATATGCTGAAATAGGAGTAGTGTGGCACAGTCCGGAACATGACATAAAAGCACACGATGCTAGAAGTGACAACGACGCTTGCGATGCATAGAACCATGATGGCGAGCCTGATGAGGACAACCATGCTGATGATGATGATGATGATGATGATGGTGACGATGATCATGATGATGATGATGACGATGGTCATGATGATGATGATGATGATGCTGATGCTGATGCTGCTGATGCTGCTGATGCTGCTGATGCTGCTGATGAGGATGATGATGATGATAACTGTAAACACGATATCCGGAAAAAAAACCGACCATGCGTGCGGATCAGTTGCGCGCCCCACTAGCGATCACTTGCCCACCCCACCGTGCAAAACGGACCGCGGATCACTTGCGCGCCGGCTAAGCACCTTGAAGACAGAGTTGGAGTGGCCAAGTGTCAAATCAAAGGCGCCTGGGTCTGGCAAATGTCAGAACCAAAGCTAACTGACCATGTTCACGTTCAGGAGCCTGCAATTGTTATTTTGAGACGGAGAATGAACAATTCATTCGCATAAATGGCCGCACTGCAGGCCAGGCGCAAATTCTTGGAATTGAACTGCCAGCGCCTTGCGCTTCTGATTGTTCATTTGTGGTCAGCTTGTTTTGTTGGCAATCCCTGTTGCAAGTGCTGGAGAAGGAAAATACATGGCCCACTCTGGAGAAGCAGCAGGCCATTTGCTGCTCCATTGGATAGTCAAATCTGTCCACCGGGCTAGTCAGGCTGATGCTGCATGGGCTGTTTGAGGCGGGCGCGGAGGTCTCGGGGATGTCGAGCCCACGCAGGTCGGACTCAGCTGCATCATTGGCGAGGCAGAGCTGATTCGCAAGGTTTCCTGTTTCAGACCGGTGCGCAAGGCTCAGGGAAAACACATGTGTTTGATTCGAGTGGACTCGTTCTGCCAACAGCGTGTGTGCTCAAGTTCGTTACTTTTCTTCAAGTGCAGACGGCGCCATGTCGGTTCATCGAGTTCAATTCAAACGACGCTCATGCCTTCTTAAGTGTTTCTTGTTGCTTTGGGTTTGGTGCAGCATCATCGGCTCGTCCTCACATGGCTTTACTGGAGTTGATGTGCGCAAGGGCAGGCTTCGTGAGGGCACAGCCATTGGCTGTCGCGCGTCAAGGTGGTGGAGTGCCTTTTACAGCGGGCGCCGACTGCTTGGCAACAAGGGTAAAGGACGCCTTTGAGACTGCAATGGAGGCAGAGGGCGTGCCGCTGCTTCAGGCATGGGAGAAGTATGAGGCGTCGCTGCCGGTGAGAGAAGTGGCGCTGGAACGATCAAATTATATTTGCAACCCTACCTGTGTAGCGAGAGAGACTTGATGTTGCGGTCAGGCGCTTGGAGCAGATCAACGCAGCGAGAGACCGCGTGGCTTTCCTGTCAGCACCAACCATGCGGGGCAAATCCGCCGCCATCCTTCCAATGTTTTGCCGAAGTCTGGAACTCGGCAGCGAGAAGAGATTTACCCGCTACTTGTACATGCCGTTTGCCAATAACAGTCTGAGTCGCAACTTGCCTCAAGTTTAGGGCGTTTAGGGCACTCTTCAATCTGTGTTTCCGTGCATTGTTGCATTGTTGCATGCTTTGCACAAGTGAGGCCACAGCAGATTGATTCCGACCTGCTTCTGGGCTTCTCTGAAGAGAAGCTGGAGCGGGCAGGCGCAGACTTCATGCTCCATTGCGTCAGGAGGCAGATGAACGGAGCGTATCATGATGTTGAGTGGCAACCGCCCAACCCACTTCCAAGCTTGAGAATGGCAGAGGCGAAGTTCAAGGAGGCAGTTGAGAAGTTCTTGCAGAGAAACAGGAGCAATCGTCTCCTCCTCCACATTGACGAGCGCCGCAGCATGAGCGCGTCTCCAGAGTTCAGGCGAGGAGGTGTCGTGTGATTGCGACCTACCTTGAACCGCCGGATTTGCCTGCGCAGGGCTCGTCCCAGGTTTGCAGGTTTCCAATTGCCATGATGTTAGTGGACGTTGGGCCCTTGCTGACTTTCAACGCGTCAGATAATGCGCCAGCCACGGCGGCAGGCTTGCCAAGAATCAGGCTTCCTGTAGAAGGCTGGGGTGGCAAGGAAAAGCGATTGCTCGCAACATTGCGGGTCAAGCTGAGCCTCTTCCTTGTGGGCAACATCGGCCTTGACCAACTCCACATTAAACAGGATGAGAAGAGCGAGTTGCGCAGGACTTTTAGAGATATTCAAGACAAGCTTGAGAAAGAGGGAAGCCTTGAAAGCAAGCTCATTGGAGCCATAACAACTTTCAGAGTCAAGTTGCCAGAGCTGGGTGAGCAGGGGCGACAGAAGGTATCAGGGCATGGTGTCGCTGGACAACCGAAAACTCTCCCTTCCACTTGAGATGTTGCTGGCAGCTGGCGATACTAGCGATACAGCTTATTCAGTCTTTGACTGTGGCCAAGAAGTAATCTGCGAGAGTCTGATGGAATCTGCTCGGAGTTGGTGTGATGGTCAGCTGTCGGAGCGAGCTTATCTCTGGGCTCTTGCCTGTAAAGCTGCCAAGGCAGAGGGCGGCTTTAAATTTGAGGGCAAGCCACGCAAATATAGGTTTTCATGCAGAGAGCTGCAAAATAAAATCAAACAATTCTTCACAAAGAAGGGAACACCCAGCATTGACGGCATCCGCTGCATTGAGGATGGTGTCATGTATCACGCACTTTCAGAAGGTGGCAAGGCTGGCACTCACAAAGGCTTCGACGTTTGGTTCAAGACAAAAGCGAATGAGTTGGTCCGGAGCTCAGTTTCAATCCAAAATGGCGCGTCACATTTCTGCCATTTGATGTTCACTGCTTTTGATGTGTGTTCCGGCGTCAGGTGCCGTTGGATGATGACCGGAGCCACAAATGCCAGAACCTGCAAAGTAAAAGCGGAACAAATTGCCCAGCGACAGTGCCTGTGGAATCAGTCATGGGTGTTCTCTTAGCTCCGAATTGTTACAGCGTCATCCAAGAGCCACCTCAAGTGGTGCAAGGAGATCCAGCAAGGACCTATTGGGAGGCTTGCAACAACTGTGGACTTGGCTTGGTGAAGATGTTGACTGAGCGCTTTGAGGACAGAGTTTGAGGAACACTTCTTTCCTTTACATTCCAGCTGACTTGAAGAACTTTCCAAAGGAAGACTTGGTTTTCCTGCAGGATAAGTGAAGCTGTGCTCTTGAAACGGAATTGCTCTTTGAGGCTGAACTTTCCTGTGGAACTGTGCCGCCTGGTCTGCCCTGAGGATGGTCAGCTATTGGACGAATTTCGTCCTCGGCAGTGCCATCCAGCGACTGGAGGCAGTTGGGAGAGAAGGCGCCAGCACTGTTGCTGCACATCCACGGCCAACAGGCGGAGGCTGACCTCGGCCAGCCCGGGAGACGCCCTTTGTCTCTGACAAAAAATGGCTTTGGCCCGTCGCGTCTTTCACTTTCCAGATGCTTCACAGAAAGCGCGTGAGCGACTCCGAAATTGCACAGGAATGTCCATGCATCCATATATCCGCTTTGATGCTATACCTCGTGCCAACCACTTCTGTTCAGCACAGGTTTAGAGTGTTTTGTGCTGCGCTGAACAAAGGCATCAAGCAGCATGCCTCCGATGTCCCATTCCAGCGTGCTGGCTCAAAAGCTGCATGGCAATGAGATATTCTTGGACATGAATGGTTCCTTTCCATTCAATTTGTCTGTGTTTGGTACTTGCTGAACTCAAGGCAAAATGGGATCCCGCGAAAAGCAAGCTCAGGGCAGCAGAAGTTTTTCAAGCGGCCAGTTGAATGAAGGGTGCCATGCAGGACTTTGCTGATTTAACGTGGGGTTTTGACGCCCTGGTGTCAGCAGCGTTGAGAAGTTGGGGCGCAGCCAGGACTTGCAGTTGCGTAAGCTGCCAGCTTGGATGAAGCAAACCCATGCCTAGAATAGCGGGAACATACAGCCTGTCGATGCTGCCTCTCACTGTTTCAGACATGTCAGGATCTACCCGAGAAATCTGCGTCAGGCAGCAGCTGTAGAACATCTTAGGCAGCTGTTTCCTGTGTCTCTTTGCCAAAAAAGCTGTTGAGGACGTATTGCAAATCGACGCAAGGTCCAAGCAGGCGCGGTGTTAGCTTCTGGGAATGGAACAGACGGCTCTTGTGACAAGCTCCATGGTCATGAGGTGCTGGAATCACCTATGCTGGCTTGGTTGGTTGGGCTTGTAGACTAATTACCGGGTAGACTCTACTTCCCATTCTGGTGCTTGAGCCTAATCACTCGCAGACCGCCCCTTGTCAGGTTTACGATGTGGTGCAGATGTCCATAGAGGCTCGGGATGATGCCAGTTTGGCCCAGGCATTTGTAGCTCGCGTGAGGCCACGAGACAGCACTTGCGTAGCACAGGACAACTCGGCTCGAACCAGTTCGGCGGCCTGACAGCCTGACACGCCAAGCAGAATTGCGGCAGCTTGGCAACGCAGGTCGTTTGGCTTGCTTTGCTCGGAGGCGCATGGGCGGCAAGACAATCGACATCTTGGTGGTGGTGGCAATGGTCTCTAAGACATTCGAACCAAGATCGCGATGTGTCTATCGTTTGACAGGCGCTTGCAAAGACAACTGTGTGCATGTGGAGTTGAAATCACTGACATCGTTTTGGACAAGGCAGCACAAGCACCCGGGTCCCTGCCACCGTCAAAGACATGCAGGGAGAGTTCGGCAAGCGCAGGCTGGATGTATGCGAAAAGGCTCGGTGCGAACCAGCAAAGAAAGAAGTTGACAGAAAACGCGAGAAAGGCTGGGGGATGTCATGAACGACTTGTACCTACAAAAGGTCGAATTGTGGTTCAAGGGGAGATCCACTTCGATCCACAAGCCTTCTCGCCTCATGCGGCATCATAGGTTGCGCAGGAATTCACAGGAGCAACGAGATGCAACGAGGACAAGTTTCGAAGTCGAAGCTGACAATAGTGCTGACAAATGCAGGCCGTGTTAGGCTACATGGAGTCAGCAGAGAAGGCCATTCATCACAGATCCCCGAACATGATGCGTGACTGGGATCCGCAGTCTGGTGGCACCACTTTTGGTCACACCCATTGATTGCGAAGCAGAGCGGTGGCAGTTTCCGCAGACGGACACGGAGGTCTTGGCGATTCAGTTCAGAAGCTTCTGGTTGGGTGCAGCCACCTGCAGGTCAGGGACTCAGATCTTTACATTTTGAGGTTGGGTGGCAATTTTTCACATTGCGCCATATGAACAGTTTTATCAGCGGCTGGCCAAGCCCAGGACGGAGCCAAATGACCAGATCTTTACATTTGAGCCTGGATTGGATGGCAATTTTTCGCATTGCGCCATATGAACAGTTTCTCAGCAGCTGGCCAAGCCCAGGAAAAAGCCAAATGACCAGATCTTTACATTTCAAGCCAGGCTTGCCAGTTTTACTTGCGCCATATGAACAGTTTATCAGCGGCTGGCCAAGCCCAGAAAGGAGCCGGTTGGGGGTGCACGACAGCCTGCCGAGCTTGTCATCGTTTCTGTGACACATGTCATCGTTTCTGTGACGCATGTCATCGCCGGGATTCAACCCCAGGGTGCTGCAGAGATGCCAACTTTGGGGCCCCACACATGCCGCGATCATCTGTGGGTGCGGCCCACACATGCCGCGATCGATTCGAGCTCGCCTTCAAAGATTCTTGAATCGCCCTGAGGACCGAGTGCGCTTCAGCCCTGCTAGCCTTGCAACAGCCGGCCGAGGGCTCACTCTGTGCCCTGTTGACGCGCCATGGCGGCCAGAACACCTGGCTGCCGCATCCGCGACCTCACTCCACTGATCATGCAGAGCAATGGCGCTGACGAGCCGGACCAACGGCGTATCCAAGCCAATAGCATGATCGCGCGCCGTCCGCGAGGAAATCAGCCCCTCCACATTGCTCTGTTGCTGTGACGAGCTGAGTCAAGCGCACGGCCAATTGCCAGGGGTGCATCCAGACTTGGTTCCTCCGAAGGCCCATCGAACGCTCAAGCATTTTCTGCCTCGCCGCCCGAGTGTTGCACGGTCCATCCCTGGAGTTTGCGTCGGGTCGTCGGTCCAGCCTTTCATGCATTTGCGAGGGATGACGGCCATGGGCACGAATCTCATTCATTAAGCAGGACGCCAGTCGCGCGCAGGAAAATGAGCTTGTTCCACCGATTGCTGCCCCTAGCGTCCGGCGGAAGCCGTGTCCGCTTGGTCATTGCGCTTGAACTCACCGGCTCCACAAAAGCGAGCAGTGCGTTGACCAGCGGCGGACGCCGCCGGGAGAAAAATTACCACCCCCAAGAAGTGCTCATCCGGACTCGCCAGCGGCACGGATAGCAAGCCAGAGGTCACGGCACTCACCACCGTCGACCTCCGCCCTTGGCAGTTCGCCAACAAGCCGCTTCAATGGGGCAAGTAACCGTGCACCAGGACGACAGACTTCCGCATCAGGGCTGCCAAGCCCAAAACATGCGGGAATGTTTGTCTCCGCGATGGACATCAAGGACTCCCACTCACGCGGGAAATTTCTTTTTCGAGAAGGCCCCGCACTACTTCGGGTTCTTCCTCAGCAGTTTTCCAGTTGCCTTCACAGACCTCTAGCTCGGGCTGTTCCGAAGCATCGGGCGGCTTTTCTGGCCACTGCATGCTTCGTGGGAAAGCACTCACCGCGCTTGTTGGGACCCCATCTTGCAGTCAAGGCTCAGAGGCGAAGGGGCCTGAAGCGCGGTGTGTGCAAGTTTGACGGCTTTGGGCCCCTCACGATTGGAAATGGGGGACTTGGGACGGCCCTGCACAACGTGTGACACAATGCGTGCAACCATGTTGTTGCTGCGCAACCATGGCAGCCACGGCTTCGTCAGGGCTTGTAGCGGGTGCGCGGCTGCGACCAGTCTGCTGATGAACGCACGCCGGCTCCATCGCACACTGGCAGTCGGTGCGGCGAGAGATATGGCGACCTTGACACGGAAGCTAGCAAAGTTTGTGTATCCTGTTTTGGCGACACGTCCTGCGCCCACGGCGGCCAGCTGGGCTGCCAGTGAGGGCGGGTACTCAGCTGTCAACGTGCTAAGGTACACTCCATTCTCGCGGACCCCCGCAGCGCTTGCGTGATTGTGTCGCACGATTTTGTGAAGGTCTTGCCGTGCTGGCACGCATCGACCCAGACTAAAGTGCGTTGGTGCTCGCGGAGCATGTGGAAGTTGGCTTCCTCTAGCCAGGACATGCGGCTCGGGATCCGGGCCTGTTCACGTGAACTTGCTGTGATCCGTGGCTGGATGCTTGAGCTGACAGTTCAGGATGGCACACGCATGGGCGAATCTGCAAGAGTCCGAGGTGCAAAGGCCGGTCTGGTAGCGCTTGCAAATTTCGCAACCCTTGAACGTCGTGCACCAATCCGCCTTGGGCTTCGGGCCCTTTGTGGCACCCTTGCATTTCCCTTTGCCCTTTTTGCGTCTTGGTAAGGCTTGTCCCGTTTGCGGGGCTTGTCCCTGGGTGTGGTGGGTTTAGGCGGGGGCGGAGCTAGCGCTTTGATGGCTTTGGGGCGCAGCTGCAGAAGGCCATGCGTGTCGTTCCGCATGTTTGTGATCTCATACAAGGCGTCATCCAAGGTCCATTGTTGACTTAGAAGGTCCGAGATTGCGTTCCACAGCTTCCTGTCTGCGGAGAGGAGTTCTTGTGTGTTGACTGTGCGCAGACCAAGGCTGCGTCAGGCACAGATCGGCAATCTTCTTGTCAAAGGCCTTGAGATTCGACAAGTGTGCTGCCTGACACAAGGCCAAGGCACTGCGGAACACGGTTTGGATGCGAACAAGCCAACCCGCCGCAAGTGGTTTTCGATTGACACTTCTGTGATTTTGCTTCCATTCGCTCCTGACACTGGCGCGGTGAAAAGCGAAACTGCCACGGCACCCATTTGAGAGTCTGACCCGGCTTAAGACCTTTGTGGACAAGGCTCAAAAGGCGTATTGAAGGCGTGGTATCCGCGTCCAACAGCTCACCGGGATAGTTAGTCTTAAAAGTCTCAATAAGGCTGTCGTGAGTTTGGGGGGCAAGTGCTCTGTCCACGATGTCAGCGGGTTTTATAGCTGAGGGAGAGCGCCCGAACTGCTGCTGCGCTGGGCTGCGGAGGCGCCATCGCCGCTTACAGGCGTGTCCTCTGTGTCCATGAAGCCAACTGGCCAAGGTCTGGGCCATGCCCGGTAGGCCGCGCATATCTTTCCAACCGCCTTGTTTGGACAACAATGGCGGCATGGCACGTTGCGCCAGCCGTACGCACACCTGTCTCAACCTGGCACGTTGCAAAACGGAGGCAGCGCGGTCGTCCACACGTGACAGGACCTCCTGCAAGGTCTCCGGCACGGTTTCCCCTTTAGCGCCCCCGAAAAGCTCCGTGTGGCCTTCGTCCAGGCGGTTCGTTAATATGAGCGTGCGTATCCATAGGATCGGACGAGACGCCCAGCGTCTCGCCCCACTGCAGCCCAAACTCTGCCACTGCACGGACTGCGCCAGAGGTGTGCAGGGACGGCAAACAATCAGATGAGAACTTTGAAGGTCGAAGTGGAGAAGGGTTCCATGTGAACAGCAACCGGACACGCAAGCGCTGCTGTGTTTTCGTTGCAGCACCTCGGCCCAGCTTGGACACAACAGCGCAATGTCCCAACAGATGAACTTGAAACCCGTGATCCTCCTCCTGCGCCAGCGCAAAGGGCACATGTAGACCGAGTGAGGGACTTGATGGGAGACCGGCATCAAAGCATGCAAGCCATCAAGTCCAGAATGGCTCCAAACCCAGCGCGCTGCAAAATCGGTTTTGAGATTCAGACCATGCGTCTCTCAACATCCCTTGAAGATGAGGCGCTGCATCGACAAATTTGCCCGTGTGAGGTGCCCGGTTCTAAGGAATGTGCTCTTCAAACAGGACGGGTGTCAGTCTCAGGCGCAGATGCAGTTTCCGGTGAGATGTGCTATTCACCCTGCCAGGAACAACCCGTCGGCTGCTCAGCTGGCCCAGCTTTTCCGGGGTTGCTTGGAAACACTTAAGGGGGGGACAATGACTCCTCCTGCTCCAGGTGTACCGCGTGCTCTGGAGGCAGTGCAACTTTCAAGCAACCCGTGAAAAAGAAGTGCGCGCCCTTTGGGTTTGCGGGGTTCGTTGATTTGGAGGGTTGTTTGGGTTCAAGCTAGGAGCGGTGCAACAGGCCTTAACGCTTAGGGTTTTCTTTTCCCTTGTGTTTAGGGCCTGTTGTGAATCTCGTACGCGGTGGCCATTTTGCTCCTAGCCTTGAACTCAAACCTCTTGTTTCGATTGAAACCCACCCTCCCACCCGGCTCTGCCTTGTGCAAGGTAGGTTCCGAGGCGGCTGACGCTCAGCGCCTCCACAGCGCTTGGGGCACGCCTGCCCTTGCCTTCGCTTTCTAGGGCTGTACCCGCGGTACTCCCTTTTCATCACACAGACCGCTGTCTGTTAAAAAAGCGCGGCCACGCCTGCCGCGCCGTGCCAATGCACTGCAAATAGCCAGGACACGCATGTCTGGCGCCCTTTTGAGTTTCATGGGGGGACAATGACTCCTCCTGCTCCAGGTGCACCGCGTGCTCTGGAGGCAGTGCAACTTTCAAGCAACCCGTGAAAAAGAAGTGCGCGCCCTTTGGGTTTGCGGGGCTCGTTGATTTGGAGGGTTGTTTGGGTTCAAGCTAGGAACAGTGCAACAGGCCTTAACTCGCAAGACAAAAGCAAAAACAAGCAACATCAAGCAACAAGAGGGGGAGGAGGCAAAAAGCGTGCAAGTTGAAAAAAACTTTAAAATGCAGCTGCGAGGTCACTGGAGAGTTGCTCCCATCCAGCCGAAGACAGGCACTTAGAACATTTAAAACACCCACCAAAAGAAGACTAAAACTGTCTCAGGCGTGTTCCAGACTGTCTTATCTTCTCGCTGTCTAATCAGTGGCTTAGTAGGTGTTTCAGGTGTTCAACATGTCTTACCTTCCTGTCTCCGGTCAGGTCCCCTTGGCTGGCCCATGCACTGACACTTCAAAACCGGTGACAAAAACACAAATATGATGGAGTTGCTTGGTTTGGACATTGCGAAACCCTTAAAACACACGCCAAAAAATGCCAAAAAAAACAAACCAGAGACCAAACGCCCTTTTTTGGGCCCTTTTCAAGCCAAAAATCCGTGAGGATCCACACGCACCGTGAGCCAAAACATTGCGCCCCGCACACTTGCAACATGCACTTGCAACCAACACGCCACCTGAACTTGCAAATTGTCTGTGTCTACCACCTGCGCTGTCACCGGACTTGCGGCTGCAAGCCCATTTTTAATCTAGTTCAGTGGCAATGCGTGTTTAGTAGGGATTTTGACCTGAAGGTATGCAAGTTGGAAGGCAAGAAGCCTTTCAGAGTACTTCTTCTTGTTTGTCGCTCGCCCTCGAATGCGGTTTGTCAGCTGCTTCGTCGTCTTGCTGTTGCTTCCGCCTAACGTAACTTTGCCGCGACGCGCCCTGCTCGCTCCTTGTTTTTGTACTTGGTTTGTTGTGTGGAAGCTGGCGCGCATCTTCTGCATTACGGCGTGGCGTCCAACAAAAAAATGGGCCCGTAACAAAATATTGGCAAGTTGGACAAGACGACGACAAATTTTGGAGGCCGTAGACGCCGGCGTTAGAACTTACACGGAGCGGATAAAGCCATCGTGCTAAATCTACGGCGCGGAGCCGGAGTCAGAGTCTACGCGCTGCTCGTGCTCGCGTGCTGACGGGTAGTTGACCCACGCAAGTACCACGTGTTAGTAATAACTTGCGGCACAGCGGCTACAACCTGCAGTCGCGCTGTTGAGAAGGTCCGACCTTCAGCAATTAGCCGTCAAGTTGGGTACAAAGTGGACCGCATTTCCCAGCGTCTGTAATCTGAAGCACCTGCACCTACCTGCCCACGTCGGCCTTTAGCGCTTTGAAGGCCATGGCCTGCGTTATATCAAGGTTGCGTAGTCTGCGCATGCCTCTATGCGTTTCACTGTCTACTTTTCAACTGCATTTGGAGCAGTGGGAACGTGCTTCGCGTGCTTGCAATTTGTACTTAAGTTGCAACTTTGCAGCTGGCGCTGCGGGGACGTACTTCGTGCGCGACATTTGTTTCAAAGTTACGACTTTGCAGCCGTAGGACCTGCGGAGACGTACCATGCGCACTACTTCTACTTTTTAAATGCGACTTTGCAGCTGACTTCAACGTGCGGAACCCCATTGACCTAGAAGAATGCAATTTGGAAGGCGAAAAGCCTCTCAAAGTCCGACTGGCGGACGGCCGGCAACAACACCGAGAAACGCAGCTACAGGGCAAATTGCAAACATATTGAGGGGTCGTTATAGTGCAGCATTGAGCAGTGCAGCCGCTTTTGCATCGCATGTTCCAGTTTTGTTCCACAAAGGGACGTGGAATCGAAGAGATCAATTCCGTGGACAATTTCAGCAAGCACCTTGACACTTGCAGTGTTGGAAAGGAAGTTACGGCCAAACACGGCCGCATGCACACACGCAATCATTTTAATGTTTGAATTGCTTGTTTCTATTTCTAGATGTAAGCTTTCCAAGTATTTTCAACGCACAAACTTGGTAAACTCAAATTTCCGCTACTTACTATCAAATAAGTGTTTGTCTCGGGCATGAACGTAATTTCACGTTGCAAAACGGAGACGTTGTTTTTTTGGTTGACTATGCTGCAGAATGCAGACGTGTTGCCATTCGGTCATTGACAAACGCTTCGATTGAAATGGATGACTTGTTTTGTTGGGCCCTGCAAATTCGTGTCCAGGCGAGGCCCCAGCTTGATGCGGCCAAACCACAATGCAGGGCGATTTTTGCATGACTGAAAAGAATGGCTGGTTATCATAGGAACTGTGCCAGCAGATGCAAAACAAAGTTTCGAAAACCAACAAACGAGACGACCTGCTTATGTGATTGCGTCGCCATGCCCCCGAAGAAGGCAGGCGTTGCAGGGGCAGGGATCTGTGACTGAACATTCGAGAGCTGGCCATGCAATGCTGCGACTCTGTCATGAAGGTATTAGGATGCAAAAACAAGTATCTTGGCAATCGTTTCAAATCGGCGCTGGAACTTTAAGAGGCCCAATGTGTTTTCCGAGATCCTGTGATGCCAAATCACAATCTGTCTGAAAGGGACAAGGCACAAATATATGGTCCCGTGTTCCATGTTGCTACCCCCCCATATGGTATGGGTCCCCCAGGACCCCCCCCCCCCGGCCCGAGACCCCGAGCCCCCGGATCCTGTCACCTACGGTCCCACCCCCACCCCGACCCCCTGAACTCGCACCCCGACACCCCGGCAACCCCACCCCCAGGACAAGCCAACCCGCAACCAACCATAAACCAACCCTAAACTAACCCTAAACGAACCCTAAATACCCGTTAAACCAAACCCTAAACCGTAGACCTCTAAACCTAAACCAACTCTAAATCAACATAAACCAACCGTAAACTAACCCTAAACCAACCCTAAACTAACCCCAAATGCACCCTAAACCAATCCCTAAACAATAAACCCTAAACCTAAGCCAACCCTAAACCAACCCTAAACTAACCCCCCTAAACCAAGCACTAAACCGTAAACCTAAACAAACCCTAAACCAACCCTAAACCAACCCTAAATCAACATAAACCAACCCTAAGCCAACCCTAAACTAACCAGAAATACACCCTAAATATACCCTAAACCAATTCTAACCAACCCTAAACCACCACAACCCAACCACAGGACCACAACCACAGGGGGGGGGGGGGTACTTGTCTGACCCATGACCATTGGTGGGGGGGGGGGGGGGGCTGGCAACGCTGTACCATATATACCCATTCTGGTTGCACACAAAAGGTGTGTTTTCCGCAACTCGTTCTCCAAAGTCAATATGTTTTTTCAAAGTCTTGCTTCATTTCGAGCATTCGGCTGCAATTTTGTGAGGCTGCCCCATCTCTGGACAGCTCAGATAAGCAAGATGGCGGCAGGATTAGACAGTGGAACAAAAAACAATAAAACACGAACAATCAAGCAAACTTGGTCCAGTCGACTGATTCGGGTTGTCGATAAATGGGGACCCAATTTTACAAGGGGAACACTCTGGGTTTTGGGTTTCCTTCATTTAGCGCCCACTGACCCAGGGAGGAATTTACTATCAACTCAGGCTAGGGCATGACAAAGCAGGTCCATGTCCTTCATTTTCCCATGCCTGGCTTATTGTGGATGGACAACCATCCATTTCGTTTGTTTGTTTGGTGGTTTGTTTGTTTGCTTGTTCGTTTGTTCGGTTTATCCCAGTCGAAGGGTTTCATTTATCCCAACTGGCTTGATCTTGTCAATCCACATACATGACAAGTGAGACGCCCCAGGAAAATCAAATGGAAAGACAATGAAAGACGACCCAAACAAATTTCTGACAAACTGGGACCCGCGTTCAATGAGCTATATAAGGCTTACCCTCCAAAAGTAAACATGGGAACATGGAGAGCTTTTGGAAGACGCTCCTGGATCCCTCTTTCAGGGTTGTATGTTTGGGGAGATGTAACAACAAGCCCTGTGTACTCCTTCAAAATCCATCCCAAGGGTCCAGTTTGTTCGGTTCGGTCAGAAGCTCCACTGTGGGCGACTTCGATCGTGACATAACCTTTGCCGGGGCAACAAGCAGCGAGGCCGCATTTTGTTCCGAAGCACGCAGGCAGATGAGTTCCCTCAAATTCTTAGCCTGAAAGGCTGTCTCGCTTTTGATATATGTTTTTTGGGGTCAAGGAAACACGAGCAGAAAAATACATGTATGCACACACACACATATATATATATATATATATACGTATTACATTCATACACATATACGCATATTTATACAGAAGTACATGTCCAAGCATACTCATAGTTTACGATATGGATGTGCATGCGCATTGCCAAGGGAAGCTATGCTTTGTCACCCACTGGCGGGGTGAATGGTTTTCCCGCCAGGCGAAGGCTGATCCCGGCGAGGCGCTGCGGATGGGTGAGGCAATGGGGCTCTGTATTCGGGGTTTTCTCCCAAGCAAGGCCGTGGCTTTGTTTGAAACACGTATATCATTAGTTATTATTTTGTTTGTCCTGGCATCATCGCTATTGTTGTACGTTAGAACCATCCATCATCATCATCATCATCATCATCATCATCATCATCATCGTCGTCCTCGTCAATTTTGTTACCGTTGTATATGTGTTCGAGTTTGTGTTTATGCACAAAGCGCACACCCACATGTGCTAGTAATCTGGGGATTCGATGTGTTTGGAAGTCAGCTTTGCTTGTTTCGCGTTTACCAAACATACATGATGTTTGTCTGGGGATTGAATTTGGGCCTTCTGATTTGATTCATGGGAGTTTCAAGGATCGAGCAGATCCTTGCGGATCTTCTGATTTCACACCCACATTCGTATGAGTTGTGCCCTAGAAGTCGGGACCGCTTGGCATGGATGGTTTCTTCGGGATTTCCCAAAAGGGAGCTGACTACTCCATGTGTCGGGATATGGTATTTAGAGACATTTGCGGCAGAAAGCCTCAACGATTCGCCAACGAAGCATTTGGACAGCTACACTTTCCCCGTTGGTGGTCTACACGAAGATGTTGGGAAGCAGTTTCCAAATGAATGGGGGGCTCCCTCGAAAGGGAAGCTGAGCAGGACCCCTTTCGGGGGACTTTTCTGGCAAGGACACCAACACGACACCGACCATTTGGAGTTTCACAGGGTGTTTAGTTAGCATGTGTCGCCCGTGGCAAGCTCTTCTGCTTTCTCAGGCTATTGATTTGAAGGAAGAGGGTTGCAAAGCGGATTGCCCACATAATATGGGTGTGTGTTCTGCGAGGGTACCCTGTTCAGCTTAGGAAACGACAAGGCAGAACCATGGAAGGCAGTTGGTCTTGCCCAGGCTGAGCGCAAGAAGGCCGCATTGGAGGCGAAACCAACGGTGCAACGAGTCTCTTGGGAGCCAATCTGTGTTTGTGTGGGGCTTCAGAGGTCAAGTTGGTTGAAGGCGGACAAGGGTGTGTGAGTCTTTTTGTACTAGGCTACCCGTTTCACGCCATAAGCGACTGGGTGCTTTTTGGTCACGCGTGCAGACAACACTGGTATCTGCGGTACTCTGTGCACACTGGAGTTCAGAACGTTTTCAACCCTCGCTGTCGACACTTCTTAAATCTTGCAGCAAACACTGACATTTGCCGTGTAATTGACATGCTCCAAAATGCTGTGCACGGTACCTGTCTGTGTGGTTGTTTGAAAGAAAACCACCCGTTTGGAGCGTCCCAGATTTGAGAGACACCCACAGCTGGAGCTTCAATCGTTTTTCCGCGGCGAGAATTGCTGGCATGCATCAGGGCAGAGGTGGGGCGGGAGCAGAGAGCAGATGGTGCACTTGATATGAAGTCCGACACACCCAGTGCCCTTCTTCCTTGTTTTGGAGGGTTCCCTTTCGATTCAACCCAAAAGAGGGTGCTCGTTTCTATTGGCCACTGAGGGTCTGGGAAGTACTACAACAAATAGGGCTTTTGCTTGTTTTCCGAAGCACCCCCCCTGGTTTGCTGGCATGAGGGTTTCCAAAAGATATGGTGGCGTCCAAAAATGATTATTTTCTCGTGTGCTACTTCAATCTTATCTCATCTTAATTTTAGTATCATGTCACAATGTTGTCTTATCTCGCCGAACCACATCTTTTTCAAGTTCTTGTGCCTCACCTCACCTCACCTTCGCTCTCATCTGATCCCGGCAGGCCACGCGGCGGGCCATCCAGGAGCTCGTGGCCAAAGGCGAGTCCTCTGGCCTTGGGCGGGCTGGGGGGCCCGCGGGGGGGGGGGGGTTAAGGGTTGGGGGTTGGGGTTTGGGGTTTGAGGGACGGGTGAGGGTTGAACAATGAGTTGGCTTGATGGTACAAATTTTAAACAAACTTTACTTGCATGTATCCCAACATAAAAGAAGAAGCCAAAATCCTTGTTTAGAAGCAGGCAATGTTGATGATAATCCATTGGTTGGGAGTTCCCAAAGTTTAAGATATATACCCCGCCCATTTGTTGTTGTGTGAAACTGTGGCCTGACTTTGTGCCCAGGGCAAAGGATGCCGAGACGAAACCGCTCATTTTCAGGGGTGTGCTACGTGGGGGGAGTGCTCGTCCAACCATTTGGACCCACTGAGATGATCAGCTTCCTTTGGGGCTCGTGCACACGCCTGACCGGAATGAGCCTCTCACCCCCGTGCATAATTTGGGTTCGCTGCAGGAAAGGGCAAGGGCCGGCCAGAGGCGCAGGCGGGCTCTTGTGTGGCGGGGATGGGCTTGGGGCTTGCGACGACCCTCATATAGAAGGCTTATGTTTTCAATCAGGAACCCTTCACACCCCGTCTTCTAGCCAAGACCCCTATACGATGGGCTGAATTCTTCAGGAGCCCAACCCTTCTAAACTGCGCACCCAAAGTCTACGGAATGAGTGGGGTGTCCACAAATCGAGGGCCCACAACTGTTGCAGTTGAAGCGGAAACGGCAAAGCGTCGAGGAAGCCATCCATTTGGGACGCCCAAATTCATCGAGACACTGCCACGGAAGGGAGCATCCTGACAGCCAAGCAGTCAGTCTCCACTCCATCCACGTTGCGATCGTCTTTCTGCCGGAGTCACTGGAAGGAAACTAAGTCATGGAAGGACTTTGAGGTGGACCTTAAAACCTTCAACCCAAACCACTGACCTGACCTGACACATGAGTGGCAAGTTGACCTCTTGCCGTGCCAATGCTTGCCCACTCATGGCTGAGGGCCCCGCCAAAGAAGCACCTGAGAGGGCCGGAGGCTTGGAAAAGGAACAGGCTGAGTGTAATCCACGTGCGCTCCGCTAGACAATCGCTGGGTTACGGCTTAATGCCGCTACTCGGGGCTAAACATGGCTATGCTGGGAAACCAGACCATTTCAGCCAAACATGCCTGTGGGTTCGTAAATGGATTTACACCGCCTAAGAACTGATGGGATTGTGGCAAGAGCCTCTCTGCGGACACCCCTTGAACTTGCTGCTGGGCGTGTCTTCGATCTAGGCCATTCATTCTGAGTGTGCTGCGACTGGCAAAGTTGGTTGATTGGCGTGGTTGAGAATGATTGGACCATATCACCCCCAAACTTTGTGAGAGCGGTTTACCGTGGCAGGGAGGCAGGTTTTGTCGAAGCTGATTGTGCCAGACGCCTGTTTCATTTATTTTGGGCTTCTTCATGCCAAGGCGCCCGATGCCAGTCCATCCAAAGTCCCGAAGGCCAAAGCCCGGGCTCTCAAGGCTCACTGGGGCGCAGTGAGCAGATGGAGCGAGTTGGTTACGTCTACATTTGAGATGAGCCTGTTGACAAAACCCTGCACCAGTTAGTAGGTGGTCTCTCCAGTATGACATAGGGTTTCATCTGCACCAACCGGTGCGAAGCGGATTCTCTCCATGGGCCTCGTCCTGAGGCGGCAGCAAAGGACAACCCGAAAGGGAGGGCCAAAGCTGGGATCTGAGCACCGGGTCAGGCTGTACCGGATAGCAAGACAGCATCTAAGGCCTTTGAGGGCGATTTCGTGTAGTACCCTGTTGAGCGCCGAACTATTGTTGGTTACATCCTCTTTGCGGGGAGTATGCGCGACTCGTTTCCTTGAAGGGGCCAATTGAAAGGGGTGTGGAAGGAGCACACGTGTTTCCGTGCATGATGGATGGCCTTGTGACTTTCGCACGCCCGGCAAGCCCTGGCACCGGCTTCTTGCACCGGCCGAGGACGCCAGTCCTGCAAAATCGCCGAGGGCGAAAGCCGAGCGCTCAGTTGAGACGCCAGGAACTTGGGATCTGGCTGAAGCGAAGAAAAGGGCTGCTAAAAGGGAAGCCGGAGCGAACAACACAAACCTTTTTCTTTTCTTTTCTTTCGTTCTTCCGGGAAATCGCCCTTGCAAACGAAGCAGGGCCCAAAGTCTCCGAAGGCCAAAGTCGGCCCCGGGCAAATGCGTTGAATATGGGTGGGTCTGGTTTCATGGTACCATCAAACCGATTACGGCAGAACCATAATTGTAAACGCTTCGCGTTGCCCGCCTCGGCCCAGCCTGGTTTGAGGGAAGGGTCAGGAACACCGAAATCCAGTGTTGGGAAGGTCCGAATCCTACTGAAAGCTTGTGACCGCACCAGTTCGCCCGTGCTAGTTCGATGTTCGGAAGCCGTCCTGCTCGGAAGGTTTGAAATCCAAAACCAAGACTATCTCAGCTGCTCAGTGCCCTTGGAAAAAAAAGGACCTCTTTCTGGGGATGAGCATTTTTAGTGGGGCTTGGCCTCCATAAAAAGGGGAACAATAATTGGTGTCACTGAACAACCAAAACCAACTTTGGGTGTTTGGGCACCTCCATTTCACGTGGCTGGCGGCTTGCCATGACACGTTAGACAAACCTGACCTTGGCACGCTGGGCTGAGCCTGCTGGGGAGCTGGGGGCCGGCCTAGTGGCTGGCATGCGCTGAGATGCGCCGGGGCCTCGGCTGGGCAGGCTAGGCTGAGGTGGGTTGGTTGGGCTGGGCCTGAAGCTAGTCTCAGCCACGAGGCTGCGAAGCCATGGGTGGGTTGCTGGCTGCCGGGCAGCCGGACTACGCTGCTGGTTGCGCCTGGGCTGGGCGGGCTGGGCTGAGCTGTGCTTGGGCGGGTTGCTGGATGGGCAAGGCCTGTTTCATACACACTTGGGCCTGAGGCTGGGTGGCGAGTTGCTGGCTGGGCTGGGCCTGAGGCCAGTCGCAGACACGTAAGCACGCCAGCGGGCGGGCTGAGGGTGGGCCTGAGGCTAGTCTCAGGCTGGCATACTTTGAGACCAGTCTCAGACTGCGCCGAAAGCGCGGGGCTGCTGGATGACTTGGGGCCAGACGCGACCAGGAGGTCAAGGCCTGGCCAGCCTGGGCTGGGCTGCTTCTGAGGCAAAGCAATTTTTTTAGTGATTTTCGCAATTGTCAGCACATTTTCGACAAAAATGGATTCATGGAGCTGGACGCCGACGAACCCCAAGGCCCGCCGGATAGGATTTTGGGCCAGCCGACATGGGTGGGGGGGGGTGGGGGGGGGGGGGCAGCCCAGCAAAATTTTTGGTTGGGGAGGTTGGGGGAGGGGAAAAGCGAAGATTCTCTTTGGAGAAGAGATCTGAGCGCCCTTGGCCCCTTTGGGGCCGAGGCGAATTTCAGTCCCCGTGTTAAGGGACAGCTATGTTTATTATCCACTTGCCATCTCATTCGTTGGAAGCTCTCTGTTGAATACATGCATCCTGTAGAATTGAAGTTGACAAGAAATAATCATCACGAAGGGTTTGGCAAGGTTCATTTCTTTCTTGGGGGCAAATCGTTGTAATTCACACAGCTTGTTTCAATATGTTTAGCCCACGCTTAAGTCTTAGTTTAGGCTTGGTGAGGGACAGAAATCAGGATCAGTCTTCCTCCGTGATGTGTTTGTGCGGAATGTTTGAATGCAGGTCAGCATGGTGTTTGCCGAGGGTCCTTTTTGGACATGCAGCCAGTTGTCAAAGGGGATCACGTAGTGTTGGATTCCGGTGTGATAGGCGTGTTCGAACAAAGGGCGGACATCTTTTTCGGCATTCTTTTCATAGCAAAAAGCACGCGTACGCGCATACGCACACACACACACACCAGGGCTCCCGTATTTCCCTTCTTGGTGGATATAAACATCACCTGGCTGAAATTGGGGAGCCCTACATACCCTCATGGCAGGTTTCCACTGAGACACACTGGCTGGCGCTGAGGCGCCAGACGCCAGCCCTGCGCCCAAAGCCGGACTCTCGGAGTGGCCATCCCGGTAGCCCGTGGATGGCAAAAATCCAAGGATTCGATTCCCCTGCCAAGATCAACAAATCGTTTTGGTTTCCTATGGTTTCAAAGTGGTGGCTACGGACACCCAACAGACATGTGAAGAGAACCCTGCCAGGAAAAACGCCTGGTTGATCACTGGGATCCTCGCACTTGTCAAGTTTCTATTTCAGGGGATTTCAATTCCCCTGGTCGCTTGCGGCTTCGTGTTGACGGTTTGGCTGTCCATGAGCGGCGCTGCCCTGCCATGCTGCTGGCAAGGCGGCACTGGATGGCAGCCCTTCAAAAGCAGGGCCTCGGGCCAAAGTCGGGACCTCAGCGCGAGCGCTGGCGAAGTCGCTTTGAATAGGGAACCAACGTTGCGATGAGATGGGGTCTCGAAGATACAAAGACAAACCACACAGGCCTACCACAAGCATTGGCTTCCTGCAGGGCCAACTACGTGTTTAAACATGTTTGAGCCAACATGGATTTCCTAAGGGTGTCGTGGCAAAAGCGGGACCCACTTCTGGATGGAGTTTGAAGCAAAGCCAGAACAACGTTTCAGGGGTCCCGCTGCCCCCCAATGGAAGTGCCCCGCTACAGTGCCAAGACAGATCCAGTAGCCCTTCGACATAGAACTCAACATTCCCCAAAAGGCGATTCCTGCAAAGCGGATCTTTGTTTTGCGGAACCCAACAATCCAGAGGATGGAATCCAATTTTGGCGTTTTCGCGCAGTGAAGAGATCAAATCCTTGGCTGCGTGGTGCATTGAGTGCCAAGGATGCCAGCCCTGCAAAAGCCAAGGCCAAAGCCGGGGCCTCGTTTCATGGATGCTTTGCTGTCTTGTTTCTGACACAGGCGTCAAACCAAAGTTGGGGGTGGGTAACAAGGAGTCTTTTCTTTGGGCATGGCCCTTGGCATTTGCTGGCCTGGAGTGAGCCGTTTATATCTCAGTACGGAAACGAGCTCGGTGGCCGTGACTTCTTGTTTGCCCTTTGGCTTTCTGCCCTAACGATCCTTGTTGCTTTCAGCATTCAACATTGCCGGATCTTGCTAAGGGACGGCCCGCAGATACAGACTATTGACAAGCTGAAATTATCAGATGAAGTCTGATATGTTCACCGCGAGTCCCAAAAGCTCAGCCAGCTGGGAGTGGCACCCATTGGATGAACCACCCAAGTGGACGGCGAATCGGGGCTTTCGTGCGTCAGGCAGATGCAAGTCCTAAAGCCTTGCACCAGGCGGGATGGATGGGGAGTGCCACATCACGCCGCCTGCGTGTGGCCGAGTGTGTCTTTCCGTTGGAGTCGCCCTTTGGGTGGGTTTGAGGGGGGTCCCTGTATGTTTGGTGACTTCTGTTCCCGATTGGTGACTTGCCCGTCCTTTTTGCATTCGAAGGTAAGCCAGATCCTCGACAAGTCGACACCAATGCAACAACCTGGCAATTTTGTTGGTATCAGAGCCTATTCTACAGTATTCTCCTACAGTATCAGGGGCTGTTAGCCAGCACGATGTCCAGAGCTCCCGTGCGTGTTTTTTGAACTATGTGGTCCCTTTGTTGCAGAGACACCGAAGGCCAAGGTTGCGCCCTGCAAATCTCAATGCACCCCGATTTTAGAATTCAATCCTGGCGGAACGGGTCATCCTTGGTCCGCCCAAAGTTGCCACAGGCGAGAGCAGAGGACGAGGATGAGGAGGCAGCGGACGTCTTGGGACTAGCCCCCGATCAATTTGCAAGAGCTGGCAATCCAAGCTTTCCAAGCTGGTCAGGGTTTTGGGTGATCCCATTTCCGGAAAGTGCTTCCTTCTCTGATGACACGAGTCCGGGGTTTCTCGATGTGTGCCAAGTGTGGAGGGCACGTCCGGGAGCTGGGGCGGCCTTGCCAGGTGAAGAAGCCAAGCAAGAGGCAGCGGTAGGGGAGGAAGGGCCTTGGCCTGCCTTTAGGTTGTTGGGGCTAGATACTTCCGGATGTGTGGTGTGTCTCAGCTTGCAGACTTGGACCTACGGCACGTATTCAGGACTGTGAGTACCACGACTTCCCTCAGATGCGCTGCTTTTCCTTTTCAACAGGAACTAAATTGGGCATGTTTCGTTGGACACACTCAAATGTGGGGATAGGCATCAAACAAAACTTATTAGGCATCAAAAAAAACTTATTGGGCATCAAAAACAACTTATTAGGCATCAACAACAAACTTATGCTCATTCCTATGGGGGGAAGGAAGGAAGGAAGGAAGGAAGGAAGGAAGGAAGGAAGGAAGGAAGGAAGGAAGGAAGGAAGGAAGGAAGGAAGGAAGGAAGGAAGGAAGGAAGGAAGGAAGGAAGGAAGGAAGGAAGGAAGGAAGGAAGGAAGGAAGGAACCCCCCCAACCACCCCGCTGATTTGTAGAAGGTTGACGGAGATTAACGCACCCTTTGCTGAGTCATCACTTCTTCGATCATCATCACCCTTTGTTGAATCATCACTTCTTCGAACATCATGGGGGGCGGCAGCCCCCCTCAACCCCCCTGCTGCTGATTTGTAGAATGCTTGCAGAGCCTAGCGCGCCCCTTGTTGAATCATCACTTCCTCGAACATCATGGGGGGCGGCAGCCAACCCCCCCGCTGATTTAATGCTGCGTCTGCGTCAAACTTTGCACCGCACCTTGCGAAAGTACTGCGCTTGCCGCAAGATTGGTACCTCTTGCGAAAGTGCTGCGGCTGCCGCGAAATTTGGACCGCACCTTGCGAAAGTATTGCACCTGCCGCGAATCTGTACCTGACCTTGCTAAAGTGCTGCGCCTGCTGCGAAATCTGTACCTGACCTTCCTCACCGCGCTGATTTGTAGAAGGTTGACAGTGATTTACGCACCCTTTGCTGAATCATCACTTCTTCGATCATCATCACCCTTTGTTGAATCATCACTGCTTCGAGCATCATGGCGGGGGCTGCCCCCTCCGCCAGCCCCCCACTGATTTTCAGAATGTTTACAGAGATTACCGCACCCTTTGCTGAATCATCGCTTCTTCGATCATCACCACCCTTTGTTGAATCATCACTTCTTCGAACATCATGGGGGGGGGGGCTGCCGCCCCCCCCAACCCCCCTGCTGATTTGTAGAATGCTTGCAGAGCTTAACGCACCCCTTGTTGAATCATCACTTCCTCGAACATCATGGGGGGGGTTGCCCCCCCCCCCCCAACCCCCCTGCTGATTTGATGCTGCGCCTGCGTCAAACTCTGCACCACACCTTGCGAAAGTGCTGCGCCTGCCGCGAAATTGGCACCTCTTGCGAAAGTGCTGCGCCTGCCGCGAAATCTGGACCGCACCTTGCGAAAGTCCTGCACCTGCCGCGAATCTGTGCCTGACCTTGCTAAAGTGCTGCGCCTGCTGCGAAATCTGTACCTGACCTTCCGAAAGTATTGCGCCTGCCACGAAATCTGGACCGCACCTTGCGAAAGTGCTGCGCCTGCTGCGAAATCTGTACCGCACCTTGCGAAAGCGCTGCGCCTGCCGCGAAATCTATACCTGACCTGCGAAAGCATTGCGCCTACCTTGCGAAAGTGCCGCGCGTGCCACGAAATCCGTACCTGACCTTGCGAAAGTGCTTCGCCTGCCACGAAATGAGAATAAGTTTTTTTGATCCCTAATAAGTTTTTTTGATCTTTAGAAATAAGTCTTTTTTGATGCCTAAACATTTTTTTTTGATCCCTGACCCCTTTCGTGGCGGTGTTGTTGCCGTGTTTGCTTGTGCCCACAAGCTGTCCATTGGGACTGCAAACCAACCAACCAACCTCAAATGTGTCTGTGGAACCTCACATTCTGGGAAAAGCAGAGAGTGGCATGTGCGAGATTGTTTCGCCCTCCCTTACAAAGCGGAGTCTAGTCGCATCACGCATATTGACTTGGTATGCTGTTCATCATTCCCGGCTTTCAGGGATGATCAGAAGGGTATCGCCATAATTTGATTCTCCAACATTTTCGCCATGGGGTCCTTCCAACTTCCCCTTGGTTTGCCTTAAGGCAGTCTTTTCCAGGATGTCCAGATCTTTCTGGAAAACAAGCTGGATCTATGGGGGTCATGTCAGGGCCTGACCATCCACTTTGCCATCAGCACAGGCGGCGCATGCCGCCGAAAGCACCAGACTCCCACGCGTCCAGCGAGGTGGGAGATGAGCTGTTTGGCAGGCAGACTTGGGGCATTGTTGTTGCTAGTCTCCGACGCCGCCCGAACATCTCCAACAGGCAACAACAATTCACAAGGACAGTCCTGGCTGCCAAAGATTTGCTGTGTCGAGGTGTGCAGTTTCCTGGGTGAGATGTTGGCATCCAGCCTGCAGGCTTTTAATTGCGAACATGGGAAGCTGTTCTTCATCTCCGTACAAACATAGTGCCCAAAGCCAAGACGAAGGGCTGCTGCCTTTGCCAGCTTCATGTTAAGCAAACGTGGCTGTTCACTCGCTCGCGGCTGGTTGTTGGGCCCAACATGAGTGTAGTTCCCAGAGCCAATGTACGTTTGTCTCCAAATTTTGGGCTGAGCTCTTCGTTTACCTTTGTCAAAAGCCCCAGAACCAACTCAACCAATCCAATGGCGGGCTCTCGTTTCCTGGGCATTGCCAGATTTGTCTTGTCTCCATGTCGATGGTCCCGCGCAAAAGGATGCTGTGTGGGGATGGTCATCCCTCTCGGAAAACTCATCTCACAACATCACAGAGGCGGAGTTTTGTTCGGGGTTTAGTACTCTCCCAATTTGGATGGGGGAGCGAATTGTCATGATTCACTCAGATCACCTGGTTAAATCCCTCATTTGTGTGGGGGTCATCAAGCCAAATGTGTGAAGAGATGACTCTTGACTTCTTTCCTTCCCAATGAGTACAAAGGTGGAGCCAGCTGTTGGGGAGTATGTGGAACCAACACATTTGTGGATCCTCCGCGTTGTCCCCCAAGTTTGAAGGAAACGTTGATAACACGATGCCTATAATTCATTAAACATCACCAAGAACACGCAGGCAACAATGTTACGGAGGGCCCCACTTTGGGGGCTCCATTTTGGCATGTGTCAAAATTCGCCCACCGGCAGTTGGACCGCAGCTTAAATCGTGCCTTGGCAACCGATTTTTGACAACCACAGCCACAGCTTGCTGGTGCCCAGTGGGGAATGACCTTCCTGGTGTTCGGAATGCAGAAGCCACATCGGGGCTGGTTTTTCTTGGGGTCATTCCATTTCTCGTTCCCTGAGCACCAGCAAGATAAAGAGTCCGTTTCGGGGGTGAAGCAGACCTTCGAGCGCCAGGTGCTGGCACTGCTGTCTCGCCTGGCGAGCCTCGACGAGATGCAGCGCAGCGCCTTCGCAGCAGGCGCTCCGGGCGAGGGCGAGGGGTTTGGGCGCGGGGTGAGGAGGGAGCACCCGGTCTGGGGGGGGGGAAGTGAGGGGGAAGGGGTAGCAAACCTCTGCAAGCCTTCTTCACGACAAGGTGTCCACCATACCGGAGAGCCACGAACCTTTCACCCTCCTAGCCAACATGGAAGCAAAACACAGGGCCTTGTCCCCAAACGGTTTTCCAGTCTTAGCATCGGCCTTGTTTTTGCAGTGTATTCGCCTATGTATTGCGGAGGCACCGCATAGGCAATTCTGGTAGGGGATAGGATCGTGTGGGGAGTCCGCGTATATAGGCTGTTCAAGAAAACCAAGTGTAGGCCTCGCATTGGCATGTTCTGCCTAACACAAACTTCAGAAAAGCGCCCGAATAGGCGCTTGCTGCGGCGTAGGTTCGTGTAGGCACCATTCAATGGTTTTACAGACCCGCCATGGCTTCGCGTAGCATGGCTGCCGGATAGGGCCGATATACCCAACAAAAGTTCGTTCTCTTGTGAACCTGAAAACAAACGCACTGTAAAGGGGTGTCGTGGCCATCGTGGCCATGTTCAGACTTTCGACCCTTCTGGGCTGGAGGCTACGATGCTGTCAGCATGCCGCTGAACAAGGCCGCCCGGGTGGATTCAAAATCCAAGTCCGGGCTTGTTGGAGATGTCTCACAGGTTCCATTGCTTGGCCTTGTGCTTTGCGTGTTGGCTGGAGGCAAGCCACTTGAGAGAGGTGGATCTGAAGAACGTGGGTCGACATATGAATACGTTTTTTGAGAGTGTTTGGGGCGGTTTGAAAGGCAACTGCAGGAAACAACAACTTTATTTTTGCTCGGGTATTTTACTTCATATAAAAGGCATGAGTGTGTGAGTAATACAATTGCAACTATGGGCCAGGTGACGAAGGACATGGTTCGTGAAGCATTCACATGGCTGCAACCTCAGTGTTGGCTTGTTTGGCTTGCTTGGCTTGCTTGGCTTGCTTGGCTTGTTTGGCTTGCTTGGCTTGCTTGGCTTGCTTGGCTTGCTTAGCTTGCTCGGCTTGCTCGCTCGCTCTCTTGCTTACTTGCACTTGCTTGTTTGTTTGCTTGCTTGCTTGCTTATTTGTTTGCTTGAATGTTTGTTGGTTCGTTTGTTTGGTTGGTTGATGGTTTGGTTGGTTGGTTTTTGCTTGGATGGTTGGTTGGTTGGTTGGTTGGTTGGTTGGTTGGTTGGTTGGTTGGTTGGTTGGTTGGGCTTGCTTGTTTTCTTGCATCCACAAGTTTGATGGGGGGGCTCATACGTGCTTGGAGTTTCTTTGCCTTTGCGGAAGCGGTCAGTTACGAGGGTACCCTGTGATGTGAGGCAATGGATGAGTGCAGATTGGGCCTGTTGCCACGTTGCCAGTAGTTCAATCATGGCAAAATCCGCCCTGCTTCTCAGAAAGCTTCCGAAAGAAACAAGTTTCTCACTCACGTGTTTGGTTGCTCTTCTTCCGAAGCAAACTGCACTTCTTAACAGCTACTAGCAAGCGGTTGACATTTTGCAGGGAGTGCAAGGCCAATCCACTTAGTTGTCTCCCAACACAAAAGCTTCCCCTTTCGAGCTAATTAATTACCCTATTCGGGCATCCCGATTGTTGGTTGATGCAACCATCCCTGATGGTTTGAGAGCATTTTGAGGTGCGCAACAGGGAAGCCCTAAAAAGATATGTTATGTTAGTCAGCATAGTTGGATTCCCAAGAAGGCTGTTCCTTTTGGTTTGCCTTTAAAGGGGCACCTTCTAAGGTAACGGGTTGGATTGCTGAGGTTGAAGGCCATCGAGCGAGAGCTGGCCAAGCTCCGGCCCAAGCGGTGCACAATTTCTAGGGCGCATGCCCAAGAATAAATGTGGGTCAGTGTTTTGGCGAAGGTTTCCTTTTTGGGGTCGCTTGAATGGGAAACCGAAAGGAACCTTGTTCATTTGGGGGGGCTGATGTGTGACAAAAGTCTCTTTCGTTTCATTACTTGGTTTTCAGTACCAAGTTGCGAGTATCAAATAGTTGGGACCCCTTGATTGATCAGTTTCATGGACATTTCCTAGTTTGCCATGCTCTCGCTTCGCTTCACCAATCAACTGAAAGGATAGGCCTGGTGAGGCCCTGCAGAATGACTCGAGAGCCAGAAGTTTTCAAACACGTATTTGGATCGAATCACTAAGGAAGAATCAAGGATTTCATGATTGTACGGTTGTTTTGTTCATGAGGATTTTTGACCATGACATCTGTCATAGTGGCTCAAGCGGCCATTCTCACCCGGGTTTGCTTTCAGTTTCGGGCGACCACTCAACTTCTTCGGGATGGATGCTGGGGCAATCAGTGGAAAGCGCGGTGGAATATCAATCAGATTTGATGAACTAGAAGCAGACTGACAACATGCCGCTTTGTCTCATCCGCTTCACCCACCCTCCCAGGCCGGAGCAGTGCGCGGACTCCTTAGAAGCCTTGCCGGGGCCCGAAAAGGCCAGACGTTCACCGCGGCAAACAAGTCAGGGTTGTTCCCCGAAGGGTTTCTCCAAGGTGAAGCAATTTGGCGTCTGATTTGCAGGATTTTGGTGGCCGCCCCCTTAGGGAACAACCCTGCAAGTTCATGGTCGTGGGAAATGCGATAGTGCCACTTTCCGTGGCCAAGGGAATCCTCTTGACCATGGGGATGGCGTACTTTAGTATGACAGAACAAGCTATCTTCCAGCGTTCTGGAGGTACAGCGATCTCAGGCCGCGTGATGAAGGTCCCTTACTGGGGGCTCCCATTCCAGTTTACCAATTTGAACATTGGTGTTCACAGCGGCTTGCTTTGGACGCTCTGGCGTTCTCATATGCCGCCTATTTGCGGACTTGATGGTCGGGAACTACATAAAACAGGTTTTGTTGCCGAAGTTCAGCGCCTCGGGGTTCAAAACCCGGTTTCTGCTTTCGGAGGCGTTTGTTTCTTATGGTTACAGGCTACTTCAAGGACCAAGAGGGAGTTGATCAAAACCTCAGAATTGTCGAATTCCCAATTGGGATGAGTGGTTCTTTGCAGGGTTTCATCCATCCCAATGCTTGGGCCAGTCCTCGCCCAGGAGCGAGTCCTTCTACCAGGCGCGCGGAAGGGCGGACGGGCGGAGGGCGATGGGAGGGCAAGGGAAGGAGTTTGTGGTGTACCATGAAGCTCACGGGTACCAAACAGAACCACGCTCGGGATCATGGGCTTGTGCAATTTGTGCAGCCTCCGAGATTGCAGCCCAACCGCCCAAGTTCTGCTTCTGGTTTCGTTGATATGTTTCGTCCAGGTCCAAGCATGCCTGACACAGGCCATGGCTTCGTGAATCCCCCCTGGTCGGTTTCAGTGAGCAGCGCAAGCGTATGCATATGCTCAGTGGCTGGATCCATGCCTGGAGCCTGTTTAATTCGCCTCCCAAACTCGCAACCCAGGCCCCGCGCACCACCCCTCCCGGCTTGTGCCGTCGTGCCTTCAAAGCATGGAAGACAGCTTGGGGCTAAACCAGCCAGAGACGGGGAGAGAAAGCAAGAGAGAGAGAGAGAGAGAGAGATAAAAAAAAAATAAAAATCAGGCCATATGCCGACTTTCCGAATCTGAGGGCTTCTTCAAGAGGGGTCCATATCGAGCCACGAGGCGCCGTAGTCCGGAGGACCATCCCCAAACCAGAGAGCTAGCCAGCCCTAAATTATATTTTTTCTTCTTTTTTTCCTCGGATCTGGCAGTTGATTCGCAAGAGGTTCATCCTGGAGTCCCCTCACCTCCCTTGAGCTGCCGGCCAGGTAGTGCCTTTGCTGCAGTCGGAGGGCAAGGTGGGGTTCCTGGAGTGAGGTGGTCTGGGGGTTTGACGAGGGCTTCCCTTGGGGGTTTTGGGCTGAAGTTCCTTGATTGGCACGGTCCGGATTGTGGATTGCCGCATTTCTGAGTTGGCGGAAACCAGCCGGGAGCCGGCGTTTTGTCGCTGAAGTGACATCTTTGCAGTTCAGCCCCCGGTTTTCTAGCGTACAAACATGCCCACATTAGGTGTCCAGTTTACGTCAGCTTGGCTGAAACTAGATGGTCACGGGCGCATGAGTCGCCTGCGAGAACGCTTGCAGTCGCCAAACAAATCCCACTGTAATTGCAAGCAATGTGTTCTCGCAGGCCAAGCTCTGACTCCTGAAAACTAGGCCATGGCCGAGGCAAGTGCCATCAGAATAGAGTAGGCGTCAAGGACTTGTGAGCCTCACGCCAACATACTGATATGTGCGCAGCTTGTTCACATCTTTGGACGTCTTATTCTTTTTATGAAGTGCCTTTGGAAACCACGTCAGTCCCAAGGCGCGGTCCACTGAGTGCCAGCTGTCGACAACTTGGTCTCAACTATGCCCGAAATGGCTCGAAGCCAGAAGCTCGAAGCAGCTGCGCTGCTGGAAGCCACCGAAGGAGACGGAGCCAACGCAAAAGTCTCCAGAAACTTGCCGAAGGGGATGGGACACAGGCTGCGGGGACCTGATGTACGACGTGGAAGTTACACAGAACGGCAACGAGTATGCTGCAACTTGAAAAAAGCAAGCCCAATTGGCCAAGAGGCTCTCTGCCGGGGCCGCTTCCGCGGGGGTTGGGTTGCATGTCTGGCACGAGCCGTGGAATATTAGTTTCATTGTCCACGAACGTCAACATCCCACCCCCTCCCCACCCCCCCAGCCCAGATGAGGTGAACGAAGCCTTGCAAGGCCGCTCAGCGAAGCCACCAGGCGACCTGTGCACCCGCAAACAACTAGATGGCCCTGGTTTTTGTTTGGTTCTAGTCATTTGTGAGTGCCATCCATTTTTGCCAAGGGGACACTGGGCATGTCCAAGTGATGCGATTGCCAGGAGCCGATTGTCACACCGGAGCTCTTTAACAAGAGGCGGTGATTGCTTTGTTCGCCATGGTAGGTTTTCAGAGGGCGAGAGTCAAACCGGCCAATCAGGCGATTTGCATGTGTTTTTCTTTTGAAGGAGAGCCAGCAGGAAGCTACCAATCTTTCTGGGTGAGCGTATTTTTTTGAGATGTACAAAGAGGCCAGCTGGAGGCAGAACAAAACAAAAATAATAAAAGTGTTCATACGCCAAAACGTCCATCTCGCTCAACTCAAGCTCCATGATAGGTTTGAACGGGCTTGAAGTAACTGGGAAATCTGAAGGCCCTCTAGTTGCAGAGCGAGTACAAAATTTGGAGCATGCAAAGGGAGCATCTTTAGGGGTGTCTTGTCCTTGAAATGGATCCGGGTTGATTGAAGGTGACTCACGGGTACTCCGGGACTCAGTTCCATTCCCCGGCTCAATTTTACTGCAAGCCCCGACAAACTACCGGGACCTTTCAGAATCCTGGCTTTTGACAACAGGTGCAGCGGCTTGTTTTATCACGTACATTTTGGAATGGCCCAGAGGTTCCATTGGGCAACTGATTTGGGCTTGCCAATCTCCAGGGACTTTGCAGCAGACCCGTTGGCGGGCTGGACTTGGACCTGGCTTCTTGTTTTTTGAAAGACAATGACGAACCCCAGAACAGTCACAGGATTCTGAATTAGAACAAACACTTTCTAGAGGCGACCCCAATTGTTAAACGAGGCAACACTTTTTTTTTGCTGGGGAGGGCTGTAGTGGGAGGGGCAGGTCAAACTTTATTGGAATGCTGGGTGATCTTGTGTGGAGAACCATGAGCCGTCCCCCACATGCAAAGAGCTTTGGCCATGACGTCAAAGCGGCCAGGCTGCGCGTGGTTTCCCTGCTCTCCGACACTGAGGCCGGAACGGCAGCAGGAAATGGCACATAGGAAAGGCATCACTGCAAGCGAACCTTGGGGAGTCTAGCAGTCGCCTGCTGCTAGGAATGGAGGGACAAAGGTTTTGGCCAAGGCCTGGCAAGGACAGCGTGATGATTCAGCCCTGGACCTGCCATCGGACACATCCCACTGTCAGGGTCCACATGTCCCAGTAATTGGGCAATTTTGAAGTTCAAAGTAGAGGTTGTGAAAAATGGGGTGTTACAGCCACTCCCAATATACTAAGAGAATCCCCACTTCAAAGTGAAGAAAGCAGTCGTAGGGATGGGAACCCAACTTTGGTACAGAAAACGTCCTTTCCCGCGTCTTCTTTTGGGAATGCCCTCGTCGTCAATACGCGTCTCGAAGCGCCGTTTATCGTTGTGCCGTACGCCGCTTGGGGAGCCTGTCGGAGTTCTGGGTCGCTCTAGGCGGCGCATGCACAGATGCGCCTCCTCTTGCAGTTTGCCCAAGAGGCAGCCGCATCAGGCGAGGGCATGCGAACGAATCCGGTCTGGCGGTCTGGAAAAGTATGGCTGATCCTTGAGTGCGACCAGCAAGTGACGAGTCACATCAATGAATGGTTTACGGCTAGTGGGAGTTTGACCTGTTTGGATTCCACTCCTCCACAAAAAGGTTTTGCAAGCCCCAAAACATACTCTACTTGAACCACCATCTGTTGGGTGTATGCTTGTTTCACGGTATATGCCCTTTTAAGAGGTGGTTTTCAGGGAAGCCTAAAGGAAAACCTGCGACACCACCCTGCAACAGCAACGTGCGACAACACCTTGCGACAGCACCCTGCGACAACACCCTGCAATAGCACTCTGCGACACTCTGCTCTGAGACAACACCTGCAATAGCAGCCTGCAACAGCACGCTGCAACAGCAACAGCACTCTGCCTGCCTTCCTTTAAGTCACGAAGGCTCCCTGCTCCACTCTAAGTCACGCTCGCCAGGCACTGCAAGGGAAGATCCGCAATCAGCATCAACCAGGGTTTTTGTTCATCAAAGGGGTTGCAATTCGGACAGCAGTCGTGGAGGGGTCTATCAAAAACCTGGACGGGAGATCATCACCGCCTTGGATCGGAGAAGCTGCTTGGACAGTTTCCCCAATCAAGCCAAGGGGTACAGGCCATGGTTCCCCGTTCTCGGAGAAACATGGTTTTGGGTGTGTCCAAAATAGGGGACCGCACAAATGGTTTCCTTTTGGGTTCCTTCTCAAACCATGTGACCTCAACAAGACACCGTCTGTGATGAGGAATCCCTGTGATAAAATACTCCTGCCTACATGTTGGTATTATATGTTCCAGACATATGCTTGAAGATGGCCTGAACTATGGCAGGGTGTGGGAATGAAGGGTTGGTTCCCAGTCTGTTTGGAAGGGCTTCCATTAGTGTCATAGAAGTGCAAACCCTGAACAATAGTGACCATGGTTCGACCATGGCTCATAGCACAGGCAATCTCCAGTGAGGAGGTCTCAAAGTAAGGCCTTGCAAGGATCGCTTTGATGTCACCGGCCTCAGAAGTGGCTGAGTAAGTACGAAGGGTTTCGTTCTTCAAGACAAGGTTTGGCTTTAAGGCTTTAAAGTGCAACCGGATCCTTGCTATTTAGACTGCTTCCAGTCGCAAAGATAAACCGGTCGTTTTTGAACTTTAGATGTTATATGATGGCTTCCCACCATAGTAAGCAGGGGAAGCCATCATGCAACACCAAGAGGCCTAGAGGTGCGTTTACCTAGTTCCCGTAACGGAAGCTAGAAGCAGTCCCTTGGGAATTCGCCAGGCGAGGGGAGTCTCAACGCCGGGCAACTGCAGCTGCAGGGCGCCCCGACGTGCAAAACAAGGAACTGAGGGTGAGTGTCTTTTTGAGGGTACCCCATTCACCTTGGCTTCTAAAGGGAAACCGACAGGAATTCGCCATCCGCCATGGGGAGTCCCCCTACAAACCATGGACTTGAGCAACTCCAAAGCCAGTCATTGGGCACCCCATCGGTTCTGAAAGACGCGCTAGCGCGATCCGGTTCTCGAGGCTGTACAAGAGCCTGAAGTGCGAGATCCGCCTGGGCGCCAAGAATGGGAACGAAGAAAGAACAAAAATGGTTTCCCAAGGAGTTTGTTGGGACACCAAATGGCGGAAGGCCCTTTTGCCGTTTGGGGTTTGGCTGTTGATCGAAATCTGTTTTGCGCTCCGGGCAAGATGTGTTGAGCAGACCCGGCTCCCCCTTCCCGGGCAGAGACAACCCGTGAACAGCTCGAGTGCAGCCAGTGCCGAGCTTCTCGCGTCGCCTTGAAGGCGCGGAGCCTGACGGCAGCGACGCGATGAGGATGGTCCAGCAGTGCCCCGATTTCCAGGGGTTCCGTGCGGGGGTGGGGTCTGGGGTCTAAGGTCTGGGGGGTCTGGGGCTTTGGCTAAGATTTGATTCTTGGCAAAACAGCTTCTTGTTGGCTTTGCGGGTCTGTGGGCGAACAAGTTGCTGCCTGGGTCACTTGGGTCGAGAAGCCGTTTCAACAGTAGGGAGTTCCCTTTTTCAAAGGGTGATTTTTATTCTACCCCTGAGCTGGTCATGTCAAAAGATAGCCCAATTTCTTGATTGGATTCGAGCCCGAGGCTTGGACTTGCTGTTTGAAAGTGGACGGTGTCACGCCAGGGTCGAAAGATTTGGTTGTGGGGTTGCAGCGATGCGACATTTTGTTGATTCCCTTCGGTTTTGGTTTGACACAACGCGCGTAAAGGCTTCTGTGAAGGGGATCGTGACTCTGACTTACCCAAGATGCCAGGGGCTGGGAGGCAGGAGACATCATGCACTAGCAAAAAGTATTCTCCTGAAAACTTTAACACTTCGAAGTGCCTCGCCCTCGCTGCCTTGGTAGCAACTAATAAAATGTCGACCTGGGCTCTAGTCAGAGACACTCCTTTGGGAGGACCAAATCCTTGGCGTGAAATTCCGACGAACTTGCACGGCTTTTTTGCGCTCGTCGCTTTGGCTTTCCGCCGATAGCCTTGCTCCTGACTCACTGCTCGACGGCTGAATCCGAGGCATTTGGAAGGAATAACCTCTAACCAAGGCATGGGGGTTGTACATGGCTACACCCGTCGGGTGCAACTGGATTAAGTTGCTTTTGTGTGTTTTACATACCACGGCCAGCCAGCGTCATGTGCCGTATGTTGGGTGTTTTCGAAAGAAGTCCAACACTTTTCGCCTCAACCTTGGGGCCCATGAAGCACAACGAGCCCATTCGCACTTCGCCGCTGCATCGTTCCGACTGATCGGGGCCTGCTTCGCCATGGATCGCCCAGCCACTGGGGAGGCCTATGAGGTGCGGGAGCTGCGGAAGCTTCCGCCTTCACTTGTTGGGGTCAAGGGTTTCTTCGCTGGACAGGGATGCATGGTCTCAACGCTGAGCCCATGTTTCCGGCACAGCCAAGGGTCCCGGTTCAAGTTCTTTCCGTGTCTGCCCAACTTGAGCGACGCGCAACCGGAGGACCTCCAGCGGGATATCGAGCGCTTCCAGCAGAGGAAGCGAGGTGAAGCTGCCTGTGGGCGTGGATGGGGCGTGGGCGACTCGAGATGAAGTGAACCAAGCGAAGATGGGCTAGTTGGTAGGTTCCACTGTAAAAAGGAACTAAGTTCCCTCGAAGAAGTCTGGCAAGTACTGCAATTGGTCCATGGTTGCCAGCCACTTGTTTGGCAATCGCCTTCTAAATCCTGAACCAAGAGCTTGAGGTTGACTTCAACTTCGAGGCTGACCCTTGCTGTTTCCCAGCATGGGAGCCTTTTTCACTGCGGAACCATCATCGATTGCAAAGCCGTGCATTCAAGCAATTTGGGTTGGTTGTCTTCGAACGATATGGGCATCATTCAAATCAGGACAGCAAACAGGGCAAATGGGAAAGGTGGCGGTGCTGCAAGCAACTCTTAAACAGCCTGCAGTGTCAAAATTGCCACTAGTCTATGGTTCATTGAGGGACATGGAGGAACTCACCAAACCCATGTCCTCCTGGAGAAGCAAGTCATTTTCACTGCTCAATGTGGCTCATATGCCAAGGATTTGGTACACGCACTTGGGTCGGCCAGGACCCTGTTCCTGGGCTTTGGTCCCCATTCTTCTGGCCAGACTCTAGCCACTATTTCAAGGCAGCATATGTGTTTCTTTGCCCTTGTTGGAGAGCGTTTTAAGTGAAGCCAAAGGAACAAATAAGCGCCCAACCCCCCCCCCCCCCCCCCGTGCCCATTTAAGACTCTACTACACGGCGGTCTCTCCACAAGTCAAGCTGGGTAAACTTTAGGAAGTCAACAGTCACGGGCTAGTAGTCACTTTAGGACTTCAACCATACCACCATGCTAGTAGAACCATGGTGGTAGTAGAGCCATGGTAGGAAGTAGTAGAGCCATGGTAGAACCTGGGCAAACTCTGGGAAAACAAAGCCATTAGAATCAAACGTCGCGCTCTCTGAGTCGGTTTCAAGAGGTGAGCCCGGTGCATCGCCGCGGTCCAGCAGTTTGCCCCCGGACTTCCTGGGGGAGGAGCGGGGCATCAGGCGGGGTGAGAAGGGGGGTGGGGCGGATTTGTTTTTGGATTCCTGCAGCATTCGCTGGTGAAATAGGGAGATCTTACCCTGGCTCACCCTGTTGCATTGAGGGGAATCATTCCTAACCTAGGGGGACCCCCTCCCCCAAAACAAATGGTGGTTCTGAAGCCACGCAACTACTGGTAAGCAAATAAAAACCAATATGCAAGGCTCTAGCTAACTGTGCTCCTATGTCTTAAAACGAGGGACCCCGCTTGGCTTGCTTCGGCTTGGCAAAGGCTTCAAAAGTGCGGGCTGCATCTTCAGAGATCCCTCTTCTCAAACGGGCCGACTTGATGGCGAAACAGCTGAGGCGATGCGGAAATTAAAACAATATGCAGACAACAAATGTGGACTTCAGATCAGTGGAAAACGCAAAGATAGTCAGAGGTGGCTCCATTTTGAGTTTCAGGGTTACCCTGTCTCCAGATGGTGGGCGCATCAAATCAAAGCCTCTTTTTTGGTCTGAAATGAAGCAGGGTAAGGGGGACAGTCAGCGGCGGGGGCAGCGGGTCGGGGTGAGGTCGAACCGGGCATCTATGGTTTCTCTGGTCGGAAGCGGAGCAGATTTGTTGTGCTGAGGCACTGCATGTACAGCACCCGAAAAGCGTTCTGGGCAGGAGGCGCATGGTGACATTATGCGATACAGTGATGCAGCAGATGAAACTTAGATACTTAGATGGTCCAAAGTGGCAAATTTTGTTCAGACACCGCTTGCCTTGGGTTCCGAAAAACAAAAGCAACACAGAATTCCTCCTTCGGGGGCCCTCGGAAGCTGTCTTGGATTCAAAGTTCAGTGCTGTTGGACATCCAGCAAGCAGAGCGCCTAGCTGGATCTTAGCCTTCGCTCACCTTCGCGCGCAGGTCCAGCCACTTAACCCACCTGGGTGGCTTCCGCCGGGAGTACTTGCATCGGAAGACGCCCGAGCAGAACTCTTAACGAGGTTTCCGCTCACTCGGGCCAAAGGCTCTGAGAACTTTGCAAGAGCCAGTCAACTCACTTCTAGTTTTGAGTGTGGCATCCCAGAAAAAGGGGGGGAGTGTGCGGAGGGTCATTGATTTGCGTGGTGCGTGGTCAAGGCAACAGATGTGCGTTGTGTGTGCCAGCGTACATGCGCTGGTGCGTGCCCAAGTGTGTTGTGCTTGTGTTTATCAGTCTGTCTGTCTGTCTGTCCGTCCGTCTGGCTGTTTGTCTGTCTGTCCGTCTGTCCGTCTCTGTCTGTCTCTGTCTGTCTCCGTCTGTCTCCGTCTGTCTCCGTCTGTCTCTCTGTCTCTCTGTCTCTCTGTCTCTCTGTCTCTCTGTCTCTCTGTCTCTCTGTCTCTCTGTCTCTCTGTCTCTCTGTCTCTCTGTCTTTCTGTCTCTGTCTCTGTCTCTCTCTGTGTCTGTCTCCGTCTCTCTCTGTGTCTGTCTCCATCTCTTTTTCTCTGTTGCCGTCTGTGTCTGTCTGTCTCCGTCTGTCTCTGTCTGTCTCCGTCTGTCTCTGTCTGTCTCTCTGTCTCTGTCTGTCTCCGTCTGTCCTTGTCTGGCTCTGTCTCTCTGTCTGTCTGTCTCCCTCACTCTCTCTCTCTCTCTGTGTGTCTGTCTCCGTCTGTCTCCGTCTGTCTCTCTGTCTCTGTCTGTCTCGCTCTGTCTCTGTCTGTCTCCGTCTGTCTGTGTTGGTCTGTGTCTCTCTCTGTCCGTCTCCCTTTGTTTCTGTCTGTCTCTAGCTGTCTCTGTTTGTCTTTTTGTTTGTCTCTCTGTTTGTTTGCTTGCTTGCTTGCTTGCTTGTTTGTTTGTTTGTTTGCTTGTTTGCTTGCTTGCTTGCTTGCTTGCTTGCTTGCTTGTCTGTTTGTTTGTTTGTTTGTTTGTTTGTTTGTATGTACGTTTGATTGTATGTTTGATTGTGTGTTTGGTGTGTTTGGTGTGTTTGGTGTGTGGGTGTGTGTCTTGTGTCGCGCAATGAGCAAAAGGTTTGCAGAATCATGGGGGTGACCCAGGGCGTTATGGCAGCGGCCACACTGAACCGAGCAACCACATCAGAGTGATATGATGTTGGGGGCAGCAGTCCAAGTTCGTGTGGGTGTCAGGGGGACAGCAAAAATGGTCGTTTACCTTTTGGTTTCCCTTTAAGCTGAGGTGAAAAGGTACCAACGTCAAGAACATGTTGCAGTGCTTCCTTGAGCTTCGCACCAACACGTTTCGGCTGGAGATGCACGGGCTCCCGTTTGGATCCTCCCCGGACGGTTTGAGAGGGATCAGGGGCCCTAATTTTGAGAACCCGCCATGTCAGATGTGAGAGCCTGGCCAAGGCCCCAAGCATTCGGGTGCAGCACCCACGTGCAATGTCCCCAGAGTGTTCTCACAAATGGAGGCACCCCTGCAAGCCCTTCCCTTGCATTTTTTTGAAGAACCACCCGAAAACGCATGCTTTCTCTTTTCAACACGGGAGGGCACGCTTTTGTCGTTGTTTTTTTGACACGCGCCCGGCCACCCGTGCTGGACCCTGACTGGCTTCTCCGTGCTTTCCGGGTGTCTGAGGAATCGCGACAGCACCGGGCCGCAGCTCCAGCCAGGCATGCAAGAAAGTTTCGGGCCTTGTTTTGCACATTCGAATGCATCTTGCAATCCGGCGTACTGGAGTGAAGCAAGCCAATCGAAATTGTGTAGGGGCCCAAGGAGCGTAGGGGCACTCAGAGGGGACAGGGGCCAGCATACCGATTGCCGCTGTCAACTTAGATTTTTACCTTGTCAGACCCATCAAGCATGACAAGCTCAGGTGGCTTTCG